TTGGTTATCAAAGACCACCATAAAGAAAACAGGAGAAAGACGCAGAGTTTACGGCAACCCTGCAAACAGTAGGAACATGCAATGCGAGAGAGAATTATCGGTAGAAAAAATTACAAAAATGACATAGGAAAAGATAACGAATGAGAGTTTTTAACCATTTACGCAAACGTATGATTTTGGGAAGTTTTGAGCATCATTGTTCAAAAGAATAAAGAGATAACAAGATAAATCGTAAGCGTAAGCAAATCGAGATCTACAGAAGTTAGAATGAAGTCCGGAAATTTTTATCAACGAGTAAAACTTTGGCTTTGGAGAGGATACAACTCCTGTAGGGATGAAGAAGGAAACCTGGAGACAGATACATACAGCGTGTTGAGGATGCTCCTTCCAGCATTTTGTAAAGCTTCTGGTATCAAATAGTAACGGTGAAGAACCAATTAGTATACAACCTAGCCTAGATGAGGTCAGAATAGCAATTAGTAGGCTGATGAATAATAAAGCAGCAGGTGGCAGTGTATTATAATAGACCCAAAATTAAGTTTTATGTTACTTTAATGCGTTTAGTCGAAAAAAGTACTGGGAAATGACTTTGAAAAAAAAATACAAGAACATTTTGAATTTTTTGTTGAAAATGTATGACTATATATTCGTTATATACATTGTGGGAAAAATGGGTAAAAACTAGTAATAAGTACCATTTTAAACCTAAAATGAGTTTATGTTTTTTAAGATTATTGACTTTTAGGCTGATTTTTGAGTTTTAGTCTATTCTGAGACTTATGGCGAACATTTCTGTAGAATATTCTGAGCAGCTTTAACCCCGTTTTGAATGATTTTTCAATCACTTCTGGAAAAGGAGACCGAAAAGACCCCCTCAATGAGTCGGTTGAGGGTTAAAGTTTTATAATTTTTCATCAAGACAACGCACCAGAGCACAAGAGTGTTTTAACAATGGCTAAAATCAAGAATTAAATCACGAGTTGTTTGACTTTTACTAGTTCCTAAATCTAAAAAAATTCCTTGCTGGCAAGAATTTTACTTCAAATGAAGATACAATTAAAGTTGTAAACCATATTTTGTAGACCTAGAGGAAAACTATTTTAATCAAGGGATAGAATTGCTAGAAAAGCGTTGGACTAAGTGTATTGAACTTTTAGGAGATTATATTGAAAAATAAAAATATTTTTGAAAAACTAACCACATATTCTCTTTCATTGATAGGCTAAGAAGTTTCCGAACCACCCTCGTATTGGTCCGAAATTGGTCGATTCTTACTAGGCCAACGTCTGTCACCTCAGCGCTTTGTATAGAAACAATGGGGCTGTTACAACAACAACGTATATATCTCTGAAAGTCCCTTCAAAATACAGTTAGAGGGGCATTCAAAAATATTCTTAAAAATCAACGACTATAGATTTGAAAATGCCTCTAAAATATTCTTCAATATGTTTGTATGAGAATTATAGGGTAAAAAGATCCAAAAGTCATGTGCCTAATGTACATCCATACATACACATGTATGTATGTATCTTCGTGCTAAGCTATCTGATTGCTAAACAAGCAAAGAGAAGATCTATCATTAAAAATCTATTCAATATCTGAAAAAAAAGAAAAACTGATATTGAACGAAAAAACAACAACAAAGAAAACAGAACAAACGTGAAATTGTTTTCCTCTTGATCACCACACTGAGAGTGTTTTTAAATTTCAGTGTTGTTGTTGTTCTAGCACGAATTTTCAAAAAAGAAAACGACACAAGAAAATATTGTTAAGAAAAACAAGAAAATCTTGGTGGCGAATAGTCTGATTGTGATTGTCTAGCCAAACGGTTGTTCTTTTGGGAAGATCAACGAAATTAAAAAAATATTTATAAAGATAAATACAAGAAAACATAAAAAATATATAGAAATAAAATTAAATCGAAAAAACATAAGTTATATGACGCGTGATATATAAAAAGTTTAAAACAACAAAAAAAATTAAAAGGTGTGTTTTGGGGCGTTAAGAAATTTTTATTACAAAGAAAATTTTATAAAAAAAAACATCTTGAAAATATTTGAATAAAAAAATGAAAGAACACCCCCTTAAACATCTGTAACATCGTGTTGACAAGAATGATTTTTTTTAATATTGTCATTATATAATAAACAGGAAAAAACATGACTATCTTAAGTGACTGGCCAATGTCATTTTATTGTAATCGAAAAAATACACAGAAACGAACAAAAAGGAAATAAATTTATATCACCTTCATATATCAAAAAATTACTTCCTTAAATTTAAAAAAGAAACGATGTTTGATTTTGAGAAAGAATAATGAAAAACAGAAGTGGTTTTTATAAAAAGTATTTTAATAATTGTTTTTGTTGTTATGAAAGAAATTCTGTGCATTGACCTCCTTAATTTTTCAGTTGACCAATAAATTTGAAAGAACGATTTTATTAAAAATTATATTAAAATATAAAACAATTAATAAATAAAATATTAAAGTTTTGAAAAATTAAAAAAATAATATTAATTAAATAAATAATTATATTCAGTGAAAATGTGTTCAAGTTGATGAAGGTTTGCTAAAAAATCTTCACTTTTCCAATGGAAACTCCAGTTTGCATTTGATAAAGACTTGTATTGTCTGGAACCACTATATATAACAAACGTCGTATTAACGTAAAATGACATATAAAAAAATATATTCATTGAACTTTAAAAATACGACTATATAAAAAATAATGTAATCGAAAAAAATAAATTTGAAAAAAATCTGTATTATCTCTGTGTTAAGCCCTCAAATTTTCAGTTTCTGTATATTTTTGTTACTTCTCCTCAAAGGAAGGCCATCAACAGAACAAACTTTAAAAAAAGAACAACAAAAAAAAATACTACGACGAAACTAAAAAAGTGTCATCGAAAAAAAACGAATTCAAAACTATTCTGAATGGCGTAAGGTGGTTTTCTCCCTCGCACGAAGACACACACAATTTATCTCTTTGGCGATGCACTCTCTACTTTTCTCTTTTGTTATTTTTATTTTTAAAATTTTTTATTTATTTAGAACACAAAATACATGTTTTCTTGTTAAGAATTTTTCTTATTTGTTTATATCCCAAAAAAAAAAAAACATGAAAATTGTTGATGATCGCTTGTGTGCTTTCTCGGTTCTCTCTCTCTCTCTCTCTGTGTTTGGTGAAAGAGTCCAAATATTTTTGAGATTTAAAATTTTGTTTAAATATAGCATTCAGTATTTAGAATATAACATTTTTTTATTGACACTATTTAACCACCTTCATAATTTAACAGAGTGCTGCAAAAAATATATTCCTATAAAATATATATATTAAAAAAAAACATTAAAAATATTTATTTTTAAAAAATAACATATTCCAAAAAATACACATTTAAGAAAATCCATCCTAAAATGTTTTAAAAAATGTATATTCTTAAATAATATATGTTTGAGACATTCATTTCTAAAATAAATTATTATTTTTTTAAATCTAATATTAAATAATTAAAAAAAATTAAAAATCCATTAAAACACCAGTAAGGAAAGTTGGACTGGGCCTTCACCACTTTGAGTATATTCTACATAGTCACCTAACAGACGTCGCCTTATCGAAAGACGATATTCACGAAACTTAACACAAATTTTTCTAGACTTTATTCAGTGCGCTACACCAAATCGGAAGATATATAGGGACTTTGGTGCACCATTTACCTTAAATCGGAATTATATATGGGAGCTATATCTAAATGTGAACCGATTTTTCCGAATTTCAATAAGGTTCGTCCTTGGGCCAAATAGTGAGTAGTGCCAAATTTCATCCAATTCGCATCAAAAATGCGACCTGTACTTTGTTTACAATTTAACATGGACAGACAGACGGACGGACATGCATAAATCGACTTAAAAAGTGATTCTATGCATATTCTCAAAAGGAACAATGGGTCTATCTCGTTTCCTTTTGCTTGTTACAAGCATATGCACAAAGACATAATACCCTATACCACAGTGTGGTGAAGGGTATAAAAATTAGGAAAAAATTGTTTGACAAACAATTAAATAATTTTTTTTAAAAATGTAAAAAAATAGTTTTAAAATTTTTTTATTTAAAAAAAACCTAAAAAGTGCTCTGTTTTACCATTTAAATCTAAGAGCTTTGAAAGACCTAAAGTCTTTAAAAAATTTAAAAAAAACCCAGAGCCTTGAGAAGGCATTCAAAAAATAATCTTAAAACATAATGTTTAAAAGGATTTTCAAAAAATATTTTTTAAAAATCCACTCCTAAAGCTTCGACAGCCCTCCAAAAATGTATTAAAAAAAATCCACAACTAGAGCTTTGATAGTGCTCCTAAAAGGTATTAAAAAAATTCACGACTACAGCTTCGACAGTCTTCCAAAATTTTTATAAAAATCCACGCCTAAGTTTCAACAGTCCTCCAAAAATATTTTTAAAAATCGTACGCCTATAGTCCTTCAAACAATATTTTTAAAAAAATCATGACTATAATTCTCTACAAAAAATATAATTTTTTTAAATTCACGCACGTGATAGTCCTCCAATTTTCCCGATTTGCCCCGTAGTCCAGTGTACTCGTCATCACTACATGTAGCCACATTGGCGCACATCACTGTTAGGGGGAGCTGGGGAGATACATTTTCTTTAATGTTTTTTTTTCACTTTGGAGAGTAACATAAGAGATAAGTGCCCCATTAATACGAACGCGTACACACACATCCTCAAAACGATAAAAATTCAAAATAAAACCACCTACGCGAAGTTTTGAAATCTTTTTATGGTGATTTTTTTCTTGTTCTTTTATTATTCAAATATTTTCAAAAAGTGTAAAAATTGTTTTTTGTCTGAAAATAATTAAAAAAACAAACACCTAGAATTAAAAGAAAACAATTATTTTTCATATTGACACAATTTAAATAAAAAATATTGTTTTTTTTTTTAAGTTGGTAAAAATATAAAAAAGCGTTTCCAAACCAAAAAATATGTCTCTGATGGAAAAACCAAATCGACCACAACGCAATCGTCGTCACAGTAGGTGGGTCACGAGACATCTTTTATACAATCATGTTCTTTTTTGTTGTTGCTATTTTTTGAAAAAGAAAATAGTTTTGTGTTTTTGTTTTTGCTGTATTTGAAATTTTCATTTGTTGTTGTTGATTTTGATTTCGATTTTGCTTTTCTTTTTTTTACAAAGTCGTGGGGTCAGTTACGGAAAGTGTGAAAGAGGAATAAGAAACAACCCCCCTCTCAAACACCCAGTTTGTCTTTAAATACCTTTCTGTATCTGACTCCCGATTTTTTATGCCAGAATCAAAATTACCTCGCATCTAATCTGTTTTTGCATTTTTGTTTTTCGTTTCTAACCTCATTTTTTATACAAAAACCAAATTTTCAATTCCAATTTCCACCTCCCTTTTTCTAGACGTGCCTGGCCACCAGAAGATGATTTACATTATCCACGAGCAGCCAAACGCCTTTTCACTCCCGAAATCAAGCGAATGCTTAAAGAATGGCTGGTGCGAAGACGAGAAAATCCCTATCCCAGTAGGGAGGAGAAAAAACGCCTAGCCATAGATACAGGGCTGACTTATACCCAAATTTGCAATTGGTTTGCCAATTGGCGTCGTAAATTGAAAAATGCCGAAAGAGAAAAATCAAAGAAGTCCTGGGGTCATCTTATCAAAAACTACAATACCAATGCCAAGGGTAATGTCGAACAATTTAGTATATCATCGGAGGATAGCATATGGGAAGAGGAGGAACAACAATATCGACGTCACCAGCATAGTGATAACGACTATGAGGATGATGATGATTTAGATTCAATGTGTGATCTAGATGGTTCAAGTGGTAGTGGTTCGACAGATATCACAACAACAGAACGTAATGACAACGGTAGCGGTAGTGGGTGCAGTACAATAAGCAGTAGCATTGGCCAAAGTGATTATCACTCAATGGATATGCATCAAAATAGGAATGGCTATACCACTCTGACTTTACACAATGATCCTAGTGATTTGTTTATAGGACGTGAGGTAGATGTGCTCACGACAAATGCCACCTGTCAAATAACACAGAGTGCTGCAAGTGCGGGTACTAAAACCAAATACAAACAGAAAATGATGGAAAAATATTTAAGAGATACTTATGATACAACGACACCACCGACCATCTCACCCACCACCACAATGGTACATATTGATTATAGTGGACAGCCAGTAACATCGGATAGTGGGCAACATGCCACCGCCACAGTATATTGTAATGCTACGAATACAACAATTATTAAATCGGGAGCAGAGTTATCCAAATGGTTGGAAAGTGCTGCGAAATTTACACCAAATAAAAATAACTATTTCATTGAGTGGAATAGTAAAAGGTAAGCATGAAAAATACTTTTTTTATATGGGAACAACTGGTCCAGATTTAGATATAGCTCCCATGTAAATTTTCGTCGGATTTTATGTAAATGGTGTACCAAAGCCCGTATATATATTTCGATTTGCATGAAATATGGCATAGCGTACTGAATTAAGTCTACAATGATGTGTGTTAAATTTCGTGAAAATCGACTCAGATTTAGATATAGCTCCCATATATATTATTTTCCGATTTAGTGTAAATGGTGCAAAATGTTCCTATATATCTTTCGATTAGCATGAAATTTGCTATACCTTATTAAATTGAGCCTAGAATGGTGTGTGTTAAATTTCGTAAAAATCGGTTCAGATTTAGATAAAGCTTCCATATAAATTTTCGTCCGATTTAATGGAAATGGTGCACCAAACTCCCTACATATCTTTCGATTTGTATGAAATTTGGTATAGCGTACTTAATTAAGTCTAGAATGGTGTTTGTTAAATTTCGTGAAAATCGGTTCAGTTTTAGATATAGCTCCCATGTACATTTTCGTCGGATTTAATGTAAATGGGGCACCAAAGTCCCTATATATCTTTCGACTTGCACGAAATTTGTTATAGCGTATTTAATTGAGCCTAGAATGATGTGTGTTAAATTTCGTGAAAATCGGTTTAGATTTAGATAAAGCTCCCATGTATATTTTCGTCGGATTTAATGTAAATGGTTCAAAAATGTCCCTATATATCTTTCGATTTGCACGAAATTTGACATAGGGTACTGAGTTAAGTCTAGAATGATGTGTGCAAAGTTTCGTAAAAATCGGTTCAGATTTAGCTTCCATATATATTTTCTTCAGATTCCATATATATCTCGGACGGGTGTCCCATTGAGATTTAATTTTGAATAGTCCAGTATACCGAATAGCGTGTATAACATTACGTTTTTTCTTACCAATTAAAAGTTGCTAATTTTTATGTTTCTTATATTTTTCAGAAACAAAAACGATAAGAAACCCATATTGGTGACAACAACGACAACAAAATCATTTCCATCGCCATCATCATCATCGGCAACTACAAATGGTGGTGGTGGTTGTGATCAGCAGCAACAACAGACTTCGGTAACCCTTGTACCAATCATATATTCCAATACATCGGCTACAGTACAAATAACAAATTCAACAACCACTCCAAATACGCAGGCGCATCACCATCCCCATCCGGCACAACAATTTCAATTACATCTACCCGACGACAACGACCATACGGATCATATCTATAATTCCATTCATCACAAAGATGAATTGGATGCCGCTGAGGCCCTGGCTAATTTGGCGTTTAATTGTCGCCAGCGGATGATGGATGCAAATGTTAAAGCGGGCTGTGGTAATACATTTCAACGGCCCCTAAATGCAATAAGTTCCTAAATTTGTTCAAATCAAAAATTCTCTCTCACACACACACCCACATACAAAAGCATTTAGACTTTAGATGAATTGAAAAAAGCAGCGAAACCAAAGTACTAGTTACAATTATTAAAAAAGGAAAACAAACTACTTCGATTACAAGACAAAAGCATTCCAGCACTGTGGTTTCTTTTTTTGAATAAAGTGCGGAAGACATACTTACTACATACATACTTATACAAAATCTAACAAAAACTATTATTATACTATTTTAATTGTTGAATAAATTTTTAAGAACAAATGTTTAAATCAAATATATATACATTTTTTGAATGCATTAGAAAAAATATTTGAGTTTTGATTGGTCTTAAAATATTTCACCGGAAATCGAGACTTTTTACCGATGTTTGTGAAATGTACAAAGAAGCTAACGCTATTTTGACATTTGATCATAATAAATAGGTAGAGATGGTATTTACCGGGTAAATACCCAAGCGGTGGGTAAATACCCATTTGCGGGTATTTATTTTGACCGCCTATGTCACGTGGTCCGGCAGTTAATGAGTTTATACCCAATTTTTGGGTAAATACTCCATACCTTTGTATGGAGGCTACCAGTAAACGTAGACCCACATACAGTGGTGGTCACAGAATTAAAACATTTACTGTGGTAAACAGTTTTTGATCAGCCCTCGATTCGTTTGAAGTATTTTTGAAAAATTTTTAATTCAGAACACTTCGATATACTGCACTTAAGAGATTTAGTGTGAAAATTGAAAATTATTGCATGCAATTTTTCCATAAATAACGGTTTTTATGAAAATACATCGACTTTGAAGTGGCCATATAATTAAAACATTGTGTGATTTTTTACTTTACTGCATTTTTTGAAAATATTTTTAAAAAAGCTCTTTAATGTAGTTAAATTATGTAAACTAAGCACCGATAAAATCATTTGCTGATAAAAATTTTTGAAAAAATCTGTAAAATCTATCAAAATTGCCAAAAATTTGTACAGTACACCTTACATTCAGAAAATAACCCTTATTATAGAAAATAAAGGTCCGAATGCACCAGAAATTGCTATAATTAGTAGAAAAAATAAATAATTCTCAAAATAAATAAATATTTGAAATAAAAACTGAGAAAATGGGAATTAACCTAAAAGAACGACTCAATTTCGATAGACTTTATTGAAGAAGGTCGGAATATTTTTGCAGTATGTGAGGAAATATCGATTGATATTGACATTTATTATATCAAATCGATTGTTCGAGTAGTACAGAATATATTTTATCAAAAAATATATCAGTCACAACAGAAAGAACAGAGATCAACGCATATGTTGACGAGTAAAAGTTTCTGCCACACAGCAGCATTTTTGATGCCCAACACAAGACTTTAAATATTTGTCAAATTGTAAATTGTTTCTTTCTTTTAGGCTAAAATAGATTAAATGGACATTATTCTATTCAAAAAATATTATTTTTGAAAAATATTCTCATGTTCAATAGATTTTAAGGGTCAAGAGTTAACCATCAAACATGGTGCTGTGTACCAGAAACGATTTCTCGTCAACATAGGCGTTGATCTCTGTTCTTTCTGTTGTGACTGATATATTTTTTGATATAATATATTCTGTATTACTCGAACAATCGATTTGATATAATAAATGCCAATATCAATCGATAATTCCTCACATACTGCAAAAATATTCCGGCCTTCTTCAATAAAGGCTATCGAAATTGAGTCGTTCTTTTAGGTTAATTCCCATTTTTTCAGTTTTTATTTCAAATATTTATTTATTTTGAGAATTATTTATTGTTTTCTACTAATTCTAGCAATTTCTGGTGCATTCGGACCTTTATTTTCTATAATAAGGGTTATTTTCTGAATGTAAGGTGTACTGTACAAATTTTTGGCAATTTTGATAGATTTTACAGATTTTTTCAAAAATTTTTATCAGCAAATGATTTTATCGGTGCTTAGTTTACATAATTTAACTACATTAAAGAGCTTTTTTAAAAATATTTTCAAAAAATGCAGTAAAGTAAAAAATCACACAATGTTTTAATTATATGGCCACTTCAAAGTCGATGTATTTTCATAAAAACCGTTATTTATTAAAAAATTGCATGCAATAATTTTCCATTTTCACACTAAATCTCTTAAGTGCAGAATATATAGAAGTGTTCTGAATTAAAAAATTTTCAAAAATACTTCAAACGAATCGAGGGCTGATCAAAAAATGTTTACCACAGTAAATGTTTTAATTCTGTGACCACCACTGTACATACATTTTTGCATTGACATTTGGTACCCAAAGAGAACACTCTGTGCCAAATTACAGCCACCGTAAAATGTGTCTAATAGACAAAAATACCTTAAATCGGGAGTTGCGGTATATGGGGGCTATATCAAAATATGGGGGCTATATCCGATTCAATATTTACTTTGACATTAAAAACATGTAAGCAAAATTTTGGGAGCCTATGTTAAGTGGTTTGACAGGAAATGAGTTTATACCCAATTTTTGGGTAAGTATCGTAAAACTATCCATTCTAAATCGATTTGATACCAGCCCATCAGCCCATCCCTACTAAGTTCTTGCAGGAGTACAATCATATTAGACCTGTCGTAAGTTCCTCTACGATCTAGGATGGTGCCGAGGTATTTGGCTTCCAAAGAGAGTCCCAGACCTACTCCATCTATTGTTGGTAGAGAGAACGTTGGAATTTTACGCTTTTTAGTGAATAGTAACAATTATTTCTTAGTGTGATTGACTCCAAAACCATTTCATCGCGCCCACCCTGACAAGCGTACCAGTGCACACTGCGTAATGTCTAATATCGTTGGTAATACTTTTTCGCTAATCACAACTACAACATCAAAATGCCACGACAGAGGAACTACGAACTGAAACGACCCGAGTCATATTCGGTCAACGTCTGTCACCTCAGCCCATTGTGTAAAAGCAATAGGTCTTCTACAACAACAACATCATCGGCATAAGCCACTACTTTCGTTCACCATTGGTCAAAGTTAACAAGAATATCGATTATACTAGAAGCCAAAAAATGGCGATTGCCCCCCGTTTTGTGAAGTTCCTCTGTTGATTAACCACTTCATCCTCCTTGATTATACGACTTTTCAGTATAACATCAATCCAATCCACCAGGGTTGATGAGAGAGAAGAGAGCTAATATCATAAATTCCAAATTTACGTTGTTGAAAGCTCCGTTTATGTCGAGAAAAGACGTCAGCGTGACGTTTGTAGTTCTCTCAATATGCTCAATATGTAGGCATACTGGGATTTGCTGATCATATTTTTATTAAGTCCAGTAATGTCCTGATTTCAAGATCTAATAAACTTTCCATTGTTTAAAAAAAAAATAAATAAAGACTAATCGGTCTATAGTCTTTCAGTAAAGTGTGACTAGGTTTCCCTGCCTTGGGAATGAAGGTCACCTTTATTTCTCTTCACAACCTTAGACAGGCCCCGAAAAAAACTCCCTAAATTTTATTAAAACCTGTTCTGATGCAATCTGCATCGTTGCAGGTATTATGCCATCTGGACCAGGAGATTTTTAGTGTTGGAAAGTGTTAATTGTCCATACCAGTTTTGGATACCTTGTATGGTCTTATATCACAGATTAATTTGACATGGACAGAGGTTGAATATGATGCAGCAATTTCTGATCCATACCCAAGTCTCTGCTCCCAGCAAAATTAGTATCCGATAGAATATCCAGAGTCCCCAAACCACAATTGGTCCATGTGTCAACCTTTCTTTTAATATTACCGATGGATTTTGTATCTTCGATAATATTTTCATTAACTCCCTTTATCGACTCACTAATGCATATCCAAGGCTCTCGCTGACTTTCCTAATTTCACATTTGTAATTATTGAAAAACTCCCTATAAGTGCCCCAATCTGTTCTATGTTTACATTTATTTGATTTGTTGTACCGAAAATTGGAGATAACGTTGTATGGGGGATATTCAAGGTTAGGTAAGGTCTGGGGATGTGCAGTCACTAATGTGGCTGCAGCACTCTGAGACCATCCGGTCCATTGTGATCATCCATGAAAAGTATGGAGAGATCTGTAGGGGAGAAAGGATAAGAAGCCAACAAGAAGTTTTAGGAGAAAGGTGGAATAGTTTCGATGGCTATAGAAATTGGACAGAAAACATATTACTTGCTAAGTTTGCACTTTCCCAACCACTTTAGGTTGCTAATGATGCTGTAGATTAAAGCAGCTTCCATAGTTGAAAAGAAGCTTACAGACGGTGAACACCCTCTAGTCTGTGCCGTCTGCAGGCCAGAACTGGACAGCGACACAGGAGATGCTCAATTGTCTCCGTCTCCTCCTCGTCGACATAGACTCTGCAGTAATCGGTAACATCATGGCCCCTTTACCGGTAAATGCCCTGATATTGCAATGACCATTAATGACTCCTGTCATTACTCTAATTTCAGCTTTCCTCAGATTCACAGTGAGTTTGCCCAGATAGATCTTGACACATTGCCCCTAAGTTCGTTGTGCCAGAGTTCATTGGCTCGTTCGTCGATAGCTAGATATGTAGATTGATATCCTCGTCTAGCTAATTCGTCAGCTTTTTCATTACCCATAAAGTCACGGTGTCCTGGTACCCAACACAGCCGATAGCTATGAGTGTGAGAGAACCCAAAATATCAAATTAGAACCTCATCGGTCCTATTGATCATTTTGGTGGGAGATTTGCCCAATGATAATCAAAGTTCAAGTTATATCCCATTCTGTTGAAAAGTGACTCAATTCCTCAAAATATCGAATGGGTTCAAATAATCGACCGATATATCCCATCTTCAGTAACAAACATCTTATGATAAGTGGCATATATTGCCACACAATTTCTGTGCTATATAATAAATACGTATTACAAAATTGGATATAGATTTTACTAGTCGGTCTTTCACGAGAGAGGATCTATATAGGTTATACAGTCTCTGGGTGGAATAGTGTCAGGGCAAATTAAAATTGGATACTTTCGAATATAAGGATGCACAATATCAAATGATTAACAGGAAAATTGATTTTATAACCTTTGTGCAAATGGGTTACACCAACTAATGATGAATTTATTATCATTACTTTTCTACTTGTTTGACCCCTTTGTTGGTTACCAGTTATTTAAAAAAAATCACAGTTTTCAGTTTACTTACATACATATTTTTCTATTCACAATTATTTACTTGATTGTTCGCATTGTCGGATATCCATTGAATTCACACATCCCATTTGGTCATTTCTTTATGGGTTTTATTTCGTGTAATAACAATTTAACATATTTAAATTAAAAACAAATTAATTTTTATTCTCTCCACTATCTGCGGGTGCTGTTGTTTTACTAGCATCGCCGCCATCAGAACTTTCACTCTTAGCATAAACATCTAAAATATTTACAAAATTCTTTTGGTGGGCCTCCAAATTTTGCACCAACGATGTACCGGCCATATTCAATGTTTGTACAAGTTCAGCTTGAGCCGATTTCAAACCTGGCAATTGAGCATATTGCATAAATTCATTACGGCTCAACAAAGTGTCATCGACAATACCGGCTATTAAAAGCATTTGTGGTATTTTACGTGTGATTTTCAACAATTGTGCCACCTTAGGTTCTGGCGAAAATACTAGACAGGTTTGGGCATCAAACAGAGGCAATATCGCTTCGAAACGATTTCCCTCCACTGCCTTGCGGACAATTTTCTGACCATACTGTTTCAATTGCATATTTTGTTTGTGCAACAAGACACGGGCATCAAAGTAATCATCCGATTTAATGGAGTTAATGTGAAATATGCCCACCATTTTGGAGTTACTCAGCCAATTGTAGACTTCACGAGCAATAATATCATTGTAGGGATTTTCTTGTACTGTTCGTGATTTCTTTTCAAAACAATTGGATACTTTAGGTGGTTCAGGATATTGAGGTGTTGTTACTGCAATTACTCGGGCTCGTTCATAGTGAGGTTGGCGGGGACGTTGAATATTGATTTTGGCCCGGAACCGTTGGAATTGCAGCAGAGGATTGCTACGTTTCAGCTGATGGAAGAGTTCTGTTGTGGTGGTGGTGATGGACCGGCAATAACATACAAAAAGAGATGTTATGGTTATACAACAAATGTTTGAGGAATGTGCTGAATTTCCATTTACTTACCAGGTTTAATTAGTTGAGACATGACGGCTACTTTATGGTTTCAATGATGGGGCATTTAATTACAATAGTTTCAATTAATTTATTTGATAATTTGCCTAAAAATTGTTTTAGAATAAACAAATTTTGCAAGAAAACCCCCAGCTCGTGTGTTGCTGCTCCAACGGAATCCAAATAATCGTTTGTACATTAATCGAGGTTATCGATAACGTAAATGTAATGCTGCCTGGCAACACATCAAATTGATAACATTGGTGGAAGTTCACTGTTGTGAAGTTTATAGCAGATTTACATATTACATTTAAAAAATAAAAATAGTAAAAGTTTGTATATTCTTGCAATACCAAAAAAGACAATTTGTGAACATGATTAATGTGACGTATTTCCTATGGAATAGACATTTGAAGTAGTCTAGTCTAAACGGACCAAAAATTTGCAACTCTGGCTTATTTTTATATTCAATGGTTGCCAATTGCAAAAATGAAAGACGAAAATAAAAAATATTAATAAAATTATTTAGACTGTTCTAGAACCTGCAAGAAAATAAAATTTTTTATAACGAAGACAATTTTTTGGAAAAAATAATATATTGCATTGCAGGAACATTTCAATTGTTGCAATTTTTCTTTTCATTTTCTAATTCCAAACAAATATTTTTGGCACAAATTATAAATTTGTATATACACTAACAAACATCAGCTGATTGATTTTAAATCGTGATTAAAAGTATCAGTAATCAGTTAGGGTGTATATCTAGATTTCGTTAATCAAATTTGTTTAAAATCCGATATGTGCAGCATGCAAACACCGTATTCGTTCACCCACTAAAATGAAGAATTTACGAAATATTCAATTTAATAAGCAGATTTTCAAAATTTAATATTGGTTTTTATCTTTATGGAAGAAACATATGTATACCAAATTAATTATTCAGCCGCTAGATGGTGGAATTTTCATATTAAATATTATGAACACCTTATACGTGCAGAGGAACAAGATAAACCAGTAAAGAAAGTAGTAAAGCCGGTTGGGGCCGACTATATGATACCCTTCACCACTATTGGTATATTAAACAGGACTATTAATATGAAATTGGATGAACTAAAATATGTGATTCATATTTAAATTGATTGAACTAAAATATGTGATATTTATCTAAATGTGAATCGACTTAGATCAATCCATAAACATGACATTCGTTGTTACAATGGGACCAAAGTATGTAAATCGACTTCAAACAAATACCAATAGGTCATCCGTTTGGCTATGTCTGTACTTCTAGAAAACGCAACTACGTAATTCTATGCTCAATTTTATACGTTGTGCAAAATTTGATGTCAATGCCCAATTTACTTAAAATTGAACGAAAATATATATGGAAGCTCTATCCAAATATGAACCGATTTCAACGAAACTTTCTACAGGTTAGGTTATACTAATTTTAGTACGTTTTGTTCCTAACAGCCATATATTGGTTCCTTGGTGCGTCAATTACTTAAAATCAATCGATAATATATAAAGGAGCTATATCTAAATCTCAACCGATATCCCCAAAACTTGGCACACATCATTCTGGACTAAATTCAGTACGCTATGACACATAAGAACTTTGGTACATTATTTACATTAAATCGGACGAAAATATATATATTTAGATCTGCACCGATTTTCAAGAAACTCAGCACACATCATTCCAGCATCAATTCAGTATGCAATGCCAAATTTCGTGCAAATCAAAAGATATATGTGGACTTTGGTGCACCATTTACATTAAATCGGACGAAAATAAATATGGGAGCTATATTTAAATCTTGACCGATTTTCACGAAACATAACAGACATCACCATATGCTCAATTCAGTACGTTATGCTAAATTTCGTACAAATCGAAAGATATATTGGGACAAAACTATATATGGGAGCTATATCTAAATCTTGGCCGATTTTCACGAAACTTGGCAGACATCATTCCAGGTTCAATTCAGTACGTTTCAAGTTTCGTGCAAATCGAAAGATATATAGGGACTTTGGTGCACCATTTACATGAAATCGAACGAAACTATATATGAGAGCTATATCCAAATCTTGGCCGATTTTCACGAAACTTGGCAGACATCATTCCAGGTTCAATTCAGTACGTTTCAAGTTTCGTGCAAATCGAAAGATATATAGGTACTTTGGTGCACCATTTACCTTAAATCGGACGAAAATATATATGGGAGCTATATCTAAATCTGAACCGATTTTTCCCAATTTCAATAGGGTTCGTCCTAGTTCCAAATAAATGAACTTTGTTTACAATTTAACATGGACAGAAGGACGGACATGCATAAATCGACTCAGATAGTGAATCTATGCATATTCTCAATAGGAACTAATGGGTCTATCTCGTTTCCTTTTGACTGTTACAAACATATGCACAAAGACATAATACCCTGTACCACAGTGTTGTGAAGGGTATAAAAATAGAGATATTTGGTATGTTCTCGTATTGCAAGAATCTACTAGTTTTTACTATTTTTTCGATGTCGTAAAGGAAATTTTGTTATTGTAGTGAAATGTAGTAGATTCCTGCATTACTAAGGGAAGTTAGACTACGATTACGTCGTTAAATTAATTTTTCGTCTAAAAAATTCACTTAATTTTCTATCCATATCGTGTTTCCCTATGTATATAATACTAGAAGGTAACAGCAAGTGTTGTTGTAAAACAAACGATACAACAACCACATGGAAATTTGTTGTTGGAAGTTATGCTAATGTCAACGTCATTTGACAGAAAATTTTAAACAAACAAAAAAATTATCAACAAATTATTGGTCTCTTCCCGTACTGCAAAAATCTACTACGTTTTACTACGATAACACTTTTTTCCTTTATGATATCGAACAAAATAGTAAAAAATAGTAGATTCTTGCAATACGGGAACAGACCATATATTTGCTTTGAAAATTTAAATTTTTTGAATCTTCAAAATAAAATTGAAAAACGTGAATGAAATTCTATGAAATTTATATTTCTATCGCTTCCACATCTTTCCTATAATTGAGACATTGCCTCTCATATGTGTAACACATATGACAATGATTGGAATTTCGAGTTATTCCATGAAGAAAAATTTGCTTCCTCAAACTTTCCCAGCAGGCAGATTAATGGTATGTTCCCGTACTGCAAGAATCTACTCGATTTTACTATTTTCTTCGATATCATAAAGGAAAATTCGTTATCGTAGTAAAAAGTAATAGATTCTTGCAGTACGGGAACATACCATAAGTAAATTGAATACGGGAGGACATTTAATAAAGAAAAATTTCGAATTGTATGCGACCCAATTAAAAAGGATATGAAATAATTCGATATATTGCCCTCACCCTTTAATCATTGGTCATTATTCACAATAACTGTCAATATCAACGATAATTCACAATAACGTTATCAAAAATTTGTAGCAGCTCTTATTTTTGAAAAAAATATTAAAAATATTTTGTTCAAAGAAAATAATGTCGCACATGGAAACAAATGAGGATGTAGTGCTTACAAAACGCCTTGAAAACTATTGTTGTTCACAAAAACAATGTAAGATGATAATTCGCTTATTTCAATTAATATAATAGATAATTCAAATATATCTTTTTTTTTCAAATTTCAGATTATACCAACAGCAAATCAACTCTTGTCAATACATTACAAATTTTACCAAGAGTTGTTATATACAAAAAATCTTTGAAAATCGGAAGCTGTTATGAGAGTATAATAACAATTAAAAATGAGGGATTGGTGAGTAATTTAGTATAGAGTATATGTGCAGTAATAGTAATATTATTTTCTATATGTAGCATAATCGTCGTTTGTTATATAGCAGCGATTCAAATGATATTACAATTAGTGTCCACCCAGACAACCAGATGAATAACTTTTTGGAAGCTGATCATTCTCTACAACTATCTATTTACATAAAACCCACGAATAAATTAAATCTTAATCGCAGACGCCATATCTTCATTGAATCTGAACATCCGAATATAAAATTTGAAATACCCATTATAATATTGGGTAAAAATAAAATCGAATTGTCCAGTTTTCCAGAGCAGATTGTATTTCCAACGTCTACGATTGGTAATTGTACATTTTATGAAATGATTTTGTATAATGGAAATTCAGAAAAGACAAGTTTTAGTGTTAAGGGGTAAGTTTAAAAATCAGGATGTACCTTGTTAGCGATTTTAATCAAGTTTATTTCCAGAACTAATCCTAATTTGTCTATAATTGTACCTACATTAGCAATTCCAAAACGTGATTATTGTACAATTTTGTTGAAACTTAACTGCAAAGCTCTGAATGAAATATGTGATACTATTAAATTTAAATTTGGCTCAGGTAAGTCGGAAAATGGTTCCAGATAAAAAAATATTCCTTTGTTGTTGATAAATTGAAATGGTGAGAAGGTAATGCATATCTTAATACCCTTCACCATTATTGCTAAGTGGTTGCGTCAAAACTGCCTTTTTATACCCTTCACCACACTGTGGTACAGGGTATTATGTCTTTGTGCATATGTTTGTAACAGGCAAAAGGAAACGAGATAGGCACATGGTTCCTTTTGAGAATATGCATAGAATCACTTTCTGAGTCGATTTACGCATGTCCGTCTGTCCGTCCGTCCGTCCGTCCGTCTGTCCGTCTGTCCGTCCATGTATTTTTGTGAACAAAGTACAGGTCGAATTTATGATCCGATTTGGATGAAATTTGGCACAGGTCACTCATTTGGCCCAAGGACGAACCCTATTGAAATTGGGAAAAATCGGTTCAGATTTAGATATAGCTCCCATATATATTTTCACCCGATATAGGCACCAAAGTACCTATATATCATTCGATTTGCACGAAATTTGGCATAGCGTACTGAATGAGGTCCAAAATGATGTGTGCTGAGTTTCGTGAAAATCGGGTCAGATTTAGATATAGCTCCCATATATATTTTCGCCCGATATAGGCACCAAAGTACCTATATATCATTCGATTTGCACGAAATTTGGCATAGTGTACTGAATTAGGTCCATAATGGTGTGTGCTGAGTTTCGTGAAAATAGGTTCAGATTTAGATATAGCTCCCATATATATTTTCGTCCGATTTAAGGTAAACGTGGCACCAAAGTACCTATATATCTTTCGATTTCCACGAAATTTGGCATAGCGTACTGAATTAGGTATAGAATGATGTGTGTTAAGTTTCCTGAAAATCGGTTCAGATTTAGATATAGCTCCCATATATATTTTCGTCCGATTTAATTTAAATGGTGCACCAAAGTCCCTATATATCTTTCGATTTGCACGAAAGTTGGCACATCGTAATCAATTAGGAATATAATGGTGTGTGTTAAGTTTCCTGAAAATCGGTCCAGATTTAGATATAGCTCCCATATATATTTTCATCCGATTTAATCTGAATGGTGCACCAATGTCCCTATATATCTTTCGATTTGCACCAAAGTTGGCACAGCGTAATGAATTAGTTATAGAATGGTGTGTGTTAAGTTTCCTGAAAATCGGTTCAGATTTAGATATAGCTCCTATATATATTTTCGTCCGATTTAATGTAAATGGTCTACCAAAGTCCCTATATATCTTTCGATTTGCACGAAATTTGGCACTGCGTTATGGATGAGGTCTGGAATGATGTGTGTTAAGTTTCCTGAAATCGTTGAAATCGGTTCAGATTTAGATATAGCTTCTATTTCATCTGTTGAATATGCTCAAAGTGGTGAAGGGTATCATATAGTCGGCCCCGTCCGACTTTACTACTTTCCTTACTGGTTTGATACCTATTTACGTGCTCTCCTTCTAGACGACTTAGACACTCCCCTACCTTCCTTCACAATGGTAAATGGTCATTCAGGGACCACCACGAAGATCCCGAATGAATAGGGATTTCTGACATCATTATCCCTGCGGTGTTAGGATACCCAGACTTCTCTCGATTTTAAAGCATTCCTTATCGGTTATCGTACTCCTGTTCTGTTCAATGAACCGGCTGCAGAAGGCGATTCCTCTCCGGTAAAGCTTTCTTGGCATTAACACATTTAGTGGTTGATTGCTCTTATAAAACATCCATTGCTTCAATGGACAGATCATCGACGCAACATCCACCTCAACGGCATTTTGCCTTGGCCAGCCGTCGTTTGGGGCTACCATATATATATATATATATGTATAACTTAGTTGGCAGTGACCCATCCATGGAGTGTATGGGGATAGCACTTAAATGTGGTAGTGCTGAGGCAGAGGAGCTTAACGTGCATATATGGCCGAATTATAACTGTGAACCACGTTATTTTCTTAACATTAGCTTTCTATTGGAAGGAAGTAGGGAATTTCAATGTTAATTATAAGTTGTGGCACTCCGTACTAGGTAATGACCAGAGGGTAATAGTACTAGAAGAGCAAATTGATAGCTCCACGTTCTGTACCGTGAAAGAGGATGGCCCCACCAGAATAAGGGGAGAGTGTCGCAGTTCGCCAGACATAACAATTATTTCACCTGATCTGAACATCTAGCAGCCCGTAATTTCCCTTGGCTCAGGCCACCTCCCCATATTCGTCTCCATAAGCAGACAACCCGATATCGTCTCCTCTGAACGCCACACTTTCTAGCGGAGATGACAATGTCATTGAATGAACGGGTCGAGGGGCATACAATTCCGCCCACAATTTAAGGGGTCAAATTCGACAGCATGTTAAAAAGTCCGCACAGCTATCTGCGATAAGTTGAAAAGTAGGAATAAGTTCCTCAAGCGACTGCATCACTTGATCTATTACAGAGTGATGGTCTGTTCTACGCAATGGAGAGGAATTCAGACCTGTCAGAAAGCCGCCCTGAGAACTGCACCGGGTTGCCTTCTCATGGACCATCAGGAGGATCTTCTTCAAGAGGAGAAGAAGATCCTACTCGTACGTACCTGCTTGGGTGCTTCAGGGATTATCATCGAAGCCATCATATGGGGAATAAAACTCCCCACCCTGGCGTCAGCTGCCATACAAACCAGAGTAGTTTTGGCCCAATTATGTTCAGGATGGTTGAACCGTCTCAATTCGTATTTGGCACAGATTGATAACCACGTGCAGAATGTCTGCCCAGCATGTGGCGTGGTGTTCAAGACTAAGGTTGCCAAGGCAGCCACGACAACTTCAGTCGAAAGGGTGTTTTTCGTCAGTAGTATTCATTGGCGTATTTGGCAAGAGTTTTGAGGTCGACGTTGGCAAACTTTTTGGGGCGCCAATATCTCAACAAGGATCAATTGGTACCCTGACTGCAATTGTGAAACACTGATACGCATAAGGAAAGAAGGTTTTTAAGACCTAGGGGTTGATTATTTGGGCGCCAATTTCATATCTTTAATCTTGGGACCATTGGTTCTCGGAGATTTCCTACGAGGCTTCCCCAAAACGCTCTGACTTTCTGCAATCTATTGGGCGCATACGTTAGCATTCCCCATAGGCGGAACAAAGCTGAACGCTTACTTCATATGTATCCACGACGATGTAGTCCCCTTAATAAAAACTACCAAAGCATTAGTAGACAGTCTGCCCATACATTTTACGTGAGGAAAATGTTTGCAAAGTACAAAAAACCCCTCCTGATAGCAACCGACTGTGTACATATAATGAGCGTCTATAGCCTGCGTATCAAGGACTATTTGTAAGGTTACCCAGTGAGACCTGCGAAATGAATTATTGTGAATTAACTACCATCACGAAAACGTAAACTAAATTCAAATGTTTGACATTATGTTTGGGAATTAACAGCTGACTTTCGCTTGCTGGGTGACCTTATTAATAGATCTTGGATACATCCTCCTCTTCAAATGTTATTTTCTTATATTTAAATCAACTTCAAATTCAAGCCTAAATTTATTTCTCTTTTTCAGAAACATTTGAGGCAACATTTATTCACAAACCTATACAATGGAGCCTATTTCCAGACTGTGCCAACATTCAATTTGATGCCATAAAATTCGATAGAAACACAACTAAGACATTTCGTTTATGTAATGATTCTAAATCTACCATTAAATTTCAATTAGAATTCCCAACCAAACATAATAGAACTTGCTGTGAAATAGACCAGACATCAAATGAGAATAATTCCTCAGAAGAAAATAAAACAATTATAGATCAATATCCATGGCGACATTTTAAAATTCATCCAAAATGTGGAACACTCTCCCCAAATACCTCTCAGCTGATAGATGTAACATTTCATCCGATAATGCATGAAGATTTTTCGTCAGAAATGGAAATTCCACCATTTTTAGTTGAAACGAAATTATTTCTAAAGGCTCAAGATGAGCTGAAAGTTGAACAAAAATCTATTCGAGTAAAAGGTTTTATAAATGGTCCAGATATTGAAATTATACCGAAATTTATTGATTTCCGCAATGTCTATTTTGGAGAGGAACAATGTGCAACCATTAAGGCTATTAATGTGGATGGTAAACTTGACTTTTATTTTGGAGAATTTTTAATATTTTTTTCGGATTTTAAGGTCTCACGGAATGCCATGTGGATTATTATGACTTTAGTGTCCATGATGATGGCAATGTGATGATTACACCAGATGGCGGCTATGATTTGAAACCCTGTCAGAGTGCCATATTCAATTTACAATTTTTTGCCAAAGTCATTGGGAAATTTATGATCAAATTGCAATTTAAAGTAAGAAATGGGAATTTCTTTACATCAATTATAAGGTAAGATTCACGGGTTGCATTGACTTATAAATTAGATGTTGACCAATACAAAATCTTTTGGGCGCCAGAATATCATTGTATATTTCTAAGTGTCAAGATGTAGAAGTACCCAAAATTTGATATATATTTTTGTCGGTTCCCTAATATATTTGACCATATCCATTTCTATCATTTAATTTTTATTTTGTTCCCTTTCTTCCATTCATAGAGGCATCTCGCAGCAAGTTCGTGTCAAATGTTTTCCCGAAGTCTTGGAATTGAATAGCATACCAATATGTGTACCACAAAAACGTCTAGTGCTTATAATAAATCCCCTTTCTGTACCGATTACTGTACAATGTACGGTACCCAATGATGGCATCGAAATACCATTAGTTTTAAATGTCAACGAAACGCACGATCATTTACCTATTACGGTCAAGGATCCTGTCAAACATATGCAAGAATGTCATAAAGAGGAGGAAATCAGTTTACGTCTAAAAAAGGATGATGCAGAGATTCGAAGCAATGAAGAAAATGCGATTGTAGAATTGGAAAATTCCGAAATATCACTACAAACCTATCGCTCAATTAGAATCGATGACAATTCATCAATGACATCGTATAGTACGGAATTTCAGGAGAATGCCTTGGGTAAGTTGGGGGAAGGAACAATGAATAGTTGCAGTTCCATTTAACTGGAAAAAAAGATTAAGTGAATCTGCATTAGAAATTGTAAACCGGGTTAGAAACTGTCAAGAATTTTCAAAGTAAGGTGTATTTTGACAGCACTGTTGCAGAACCTGCAAAACTCTTCTTTTAATCGAAATTGTTTTCAATTTTCTCTTCATAAGTGTTTACCACGTTTTGAGTATGGCAACAGATTCACAATTTCAATTGATTGAATTCTCTCCATCTTTTCTTGCTCTATTAATAAGGTCACCCCAAGATCTACTAATAAGGTCACCCAGGTAGCAATCGAAATCGGAAAACAGCTGTTTTTTCTCAAGTCTAATGTCAAAAATTTCGACTTTGTTTACGTTTTCATAATGGAAGTCAATTCCCAATAATGCATTTTAACAGCAAACTTGAGTGGCGCAGATAGCCAGCTGGTCTCCCTGGGTGGCCTTATTTATAGGCCATGGGTCACCCAACAAGCTGTTTTTTTCAACTCTAATGTAAAAAATTTGAACTTTGTTTACGTTTTCATCAAGGAAATCAATTCACAATAATGGATATTGACAGCAAACATGAGAGACAGCTGATTACCTTATTAATAGGCCTTATTTTCTTGCATATACGGTTTATTAGAAATCGTTGAATCAAGATCTATTAATAAGGTCACCAAGATAGGAATCGAAATCGGAAAACCGCTGTTTTTTCTCAAGTCTAATGTCAAAAATTTCGACTTTGTTTACGTTTTCATAAAGGAAATCAATTCACAATAATGCATTTTGACAGCAAACTTGAGAGGTATCGATTATCAGCTGGTCTCCCTGGGTGACCTTATTTATAGGCCATGTCGTTGAATCAAGAATTATTTATAAGGTCAGCCAACTGGCGAAAGTCAGCTGTTTTTTCTCAAGTCGAATGTCAAAAAATTGGCCTTTGTATACGTTTTCATAATAGAAGTCATTTCTCAATAATGGATTTTGACAGCAAACTTGAAAGGCAGCTGATATCCAGTTTGTCTCCCTGGACGACCATATTTATAGGCCTTGGTTGCAATGTGTGAATCAGTTGTTTCTAGGATCAGCTGATTTCATCATTTAGTTATATTTTCAAAGATTATTCCACCAATGTGCTTCATCGCTAAAGATTTTTTTTTTTCGAAAAAGTGCCGTCCACCGCCTGTTTTACCAGCACCCTTTCTACGTATCTACGACGCTGCGAAATGTCAGCTGCCAATTGCTTGGAAGGTTGGACGATTATGTAAACCACAATGTCCTCTCAAAGCACGATATGTGGCTGTGACAGAATCACAATTTCGTAATATGTTTTGATAATTTTTATGCGTTTTGAGATAACTAAGCTATCCACTTTCGTCAATGTCAGACTTTCAAATGAAAAGAAGCAAATGTAAATCTCGAAATGGATAACCCTTTACAAGTCCTGTTAATAGGGACACCCAAGAAAATCAGCTGTTTCTCAAGTTGGCTGTCAAAATCGATTATTGGGAATTTACTTCGCATTAATAAAAATGCATAACCCTTTACAATTCCTTTTAATAATGACACCCAAGAAAATCAGCTACTTGTCAAAACCGATTATTGTGAATTGACTTCGCAGTAATAAAGTCAATATTTTTGACATTCACCTTGAGAAATAAAATCTGGTTTTTCTCTTCCTTAATAATAGGTTAAGGCCTGTTAATGTTATCCAAGGCGACCAGCTACATATCATCTGCTTTTCAAGTTTGCTGTCAAAATTCATTATTGTGAATTGTCTTTCCTTATGAAAACGTTAACAAACTCCAAATTTTGACATTAGACTTGAGAAAAAATAGCTGACTTTCGCTTGCTGCATGAGCACCAAGGCCTATAAACAAGGTCCAGGGAGACTCGATGCATATCAGCTGCCTCTTAAGTTTGCTGTCAAAATCAATTATTGCAAATTGGCTTCCCTTATGAAAAAGTAAACAGAGTCCAAATTACAATTCCTGGGAGACCAGCTGCCTCTTAATTTTGCATTCAAAATCGATTATTTTGAATTGACTTCCATTATGAAAACGTAAGCAAAAGCCAATTTTTTTTACATTAAGCTTGAGAAAAAACTGCTGACTTTCGCTAGCGCGTAACCTTATTAAAAGATCTTGATAAAAAAGAGAAATTCGAATGCCCATTTAATAGGTCAGCCAAAATGCAATCGAAATCACCCATTCTGATTGTAATGGTTGTTTAGTTTTCCCTACAAATAATTCAAAATAGAATGAATTTTGACATCTGGTCTTAATATTTATAGAAAGAATATAAAAGAAAATATTAAATGCCTCCAAGCTATCAAGGATTTGATTTAACTACTATTAATAAGGTCATCCAGAAAGTGAAAAACAGCTGTTTTCCTCGCTTTAATAATGTGATGTCAATTCACAATAATGGCTTTTGACAGCAATTCTTAGAAGCAGCTGATCTTCCTTTATGACCTTAATAATATACCTTGATTGCGTTTACTTATTTATACGATTAATTCAAAATAGGTTCAATGAGGATCAGTTGATTTTACCATATATTTCAATAGAGAAATTCAAAACAAGTTTCGTAAAAAAAATATATTTTTTTAATTATATTCCTTAGTCCTATATGTATACGTCTTCTTTTTAAAATGTGTTTCCCCCCATTTCAGATTTCATTCCGACAATGGCCACCAGTTTACTACATCATTTAAAGAAAATCAAAATATTCGATAAACCCGAAATGGAAAAGAAAGTTATCGATGAAACCATCTCGGCTTTATTACAAACTTCGTATTTTCACGATATGGATAAATATAAAAATTATTGTAATATGGATTGGAATTCATTACCATCAGATCCCAAAGAAATCTATTGTAATAATGAAATAATATTTCTTCATCCAAATACGGGTAAAGTGCTAAGTGTAATGATAATACCAAATGTCATTGGTGATCATCAGAAATTTCTCGAATTTCGTGTATGTCCAATATTGCCTTCACCTGAAGCCGATGATGATAGTGATGATGATTCAAAATTACAACAAATAGTACGTTCCAGTAATTTATTAAGTAGGCTATGGATTGAATATAATTGTGAGGTACCGGAAATTAGGTGGGGTAATGTCATCGATATGAAAGGTCCTCACTATGCTGGTGAGCTATATGAATTTGAAATGGTGTTTGAGAATTGCAGTAAAATTGGTGGATTTTTCTTCTATGATGTTATTGTAAGTATTTCCGAACTTCTTTCTATAATTATGATTATCACTTATATATATTTTTTAGCCGGATAATGAATATGGCGCGATGAAATTTTTAAATAACTGCTGGAAATATTTTATTGAACCGGAGTCAATCATCAAAGTTCCCTGCGCTGTTGAATATAAGAAAACTGGGTTTATAAAACTTTTAGGATTGTAAGTTATAAAAAGAAGTAATCCACACCTATCAGTGACAAGATATATTAATAAGTTCACCCAGCTAGATAAAGTCAGCTGTTTTTTTCTCAAGTCTAATATGAAAGGTGTGGACCATGACACAATGAATAGGTAGTCCATTTAGCGCAGCTGATGTCTCGATTAACTGTCAAAGTGGGTAATTTTTACTTGAATTCGATGTGCAGTCTTGCCAACCATTTGACATTTTATAAGGAAAAATTTGACAGATAATCGAGACAAAAACAAAGGTTTTTGTTGTGATACATCACCTTATTATTGCATCATGGTGTGGACTTTGTTTACGTTTCATAATGGAAGTCAATTCACAATAATGGATTTTGACAGCAATCTTGAGAGACAGCTGATATCCAGCTGGTCTCCCTGGATGACCATATTAATAGACCTTGATCAGTGATAGTTGTTGCAAAAACCAAAGCCTATAAATAAGGTCGTCCAGGGATACCAGCTTGATATCAGCTACCTCTTAAGTTACAATGCTACTTAGGTTTATATCTGCGATGGGAAGCATAGTTGAATGATTTCGAAATCGTCCACAGGTTGCCGATAGTGGAAAACCAATGATCTTCTAGACCAACAAGGTGAAGTGTTTAGCTCCCCTATAATTAAACAAACTTATGGGTTAATGACCTATCTATCCTCATCAACGCTGGGTTGTTATGCGAACTCGTGCCCATCGGTGTATAGGGTTTGTAGTCAGGGTTCCGACTATATTCGAACTGAGCCCCATCGACACCTGGGCGCCTTGATGAGTATTAGGTTAAGTTACCAAGTTCTTGTCATGGCAAGAAGGCTATGTCATAGTTGACATTCGGTCTTCCAATTAACCAATGCCTATGGGGTATTTAAAACCCCCCAAAAGAATCAATGTGCGTATGTTCACTTAACGGGCGCCAACTGCAGAACACGTCGTAGAATTGTCAGCTTCAGTCGACAGACCATCACTTCTGAGGCAAACGGATACTGATACCGGTTAAAAGTGAGTGTTCCAAAACTATTTTAGAATCCTCGCTGACGGCTCCTGCCCTCAAAAGAACAATTTAATTTTCGCAGCGATACATAGATAAGGATCCCAACATTATCAGCGAAAAGGAATTCAGCTGAATATAGAAGCACCCAAAAGGTTGTGAAGAATTGCGAAAATAACTATCCCTACAAGGCATCTAGGAAACTTCCGATCGACCGAATTTCTATCTTGCGGTGTCCGGGAGCTCTACCAAGGCGACGACAAATTAACCCCACTGTATATGATAAAAGAATGGGGCAAACAAGAGATCAAAGACAGCATCATCATCGATGACTAAGGTGGAATCCAACTGAAATCAACTCCTCCAAAAAAGAAGACCTGCACTATTCAGGTTGTGATGGATACAACGTATTAATGAAAAATCGTGGAGTGTTATCGTTCCTATTACACATTTCTGCCCAATTCTGACCTATCTCTCTTGACTCTATATATAATGTATAGGGTTTAGGATCAGGTGAGGTATCGTCAAGGTTGAGTTGATTAACATACATATTTCGCCATCAAACTGCGTCGCCCACGTTATTTGCAATATTTTAGATGGCAATAACCTCTGCTACTAGGGGATTTCAATGCTCTCCATGAATTAGGGCATTCCTTGGTTAGTAATGACTAGAGTGGCATGAAGCTGGCCGAGAAAATATTTATCGATCAAAGGTTAGTAGATTATTATGTTAGTCGGCTAGATTAATGGATGATTCCAAGAGGTGCGCGAGAAATTTTACCCGGCAATTCAAAGACCAATCCGAAAAGGGCAGGGCGAAAAGGAATGTACTGCACCGTATACGATTACTTTAGGTCGTGGAGGAACAACTACAATTTACTTTGGAGGATGATGCAAGTGTCATCAGAAACTCAAAATCAACGAAGGCACATGACCCTGATAGAATCTCTCGTCGTCGTACATGGAATTCGAAAATTAAAAGTCAAAGACCAGTTGAGTGGAAAATGCAATTTCCAGGGAGGTTGAATATTTCCGGAACTATATAATATCTACCTTTCTGGAATCCCTCGCCCACTGGACTGCATTAAGATCAATGTACGATCTTGGGGTCGGGGTTAAAAATTGATGACATCTGCGATCGGTTGAAGAACTATCTCGCGGACATAGCAGAGTTCTAGGGTTCACATTTGATAACCTATAGAAGAACATTTAAAATCTGCAAAATGACACACTGAGGACTGCAGCAATATGTTTCGTTATGACTTCAATAGCCCACTTGCATGAGGACACGAAGATTCAACAAAATTTGTCGATACAATTACTGCTCTTGTGTTAATAATGCAGCCATCCGAACCACCACAAAGACATGTCAGGAGGGATCTTCATGACATAAAATAGAAGTATCGAGGTGTTAAAAAATGCCTCCCGATTAACAGGTCTATGAAGCAGAATTGAATCGTATTGATGTAGTTGTGGAAGCAATTCGAGAATACAGGGTCAATACAATATTTTATGATCTCGAGAAAATGGTCCAGAGGTACACCAGAAAGCCCCTAGAAACAGGCTCAATATGTCAACTAGGATTGAATCGTGTTCACACCGATGGAGTTTGGAAGCAATTCGTGAATACAGGGCGAACCTCTGAGAACACCCGTCAACAATAGGATCAGATAACGTGACAAACCAGAGTGGTTTTGGTACCATTGAGATCTGGGAGGTTTAACCGACTCGATTTGTATTGGGCACGATATCTATTTTCTCTCTCCTTCTCTCTCTCTCTCTCTCTTATTATCCAATAGAATAAAAGTTGTTAGCCTCAACACTGGATTTCCATTTCACATCAAATCGGAAGTTCTTCCACCTGAAATAAATGTTAGTCCTCAGCAAATTGTGAAAAAGGTGATGGTATTAGAAAGAACACGTGGCTATATATACATAGATAATGTCACTCCCACAACCACTTGGTTCAGGTTAAAATTAGTAAGTCTAAAACAAAAAGAAAATGAAATCTTTGAATGAAATATAAAATTTTACAGAAGGATGACTCTCACATTACAATTTATCCTGAAGGAGGGCAATTGGCACCAACAGGACAAAGTATATTCGTGTTAATGGAAATGTTCTATACCGATCCTGGACTTTATAGGACAACTTTGAACGTTATAATGCAATATGAAACAATTAAGGTAAGGAGAAATAAGAGCTATTTAAGGTCTTCTGTCTATAAAGGAGCTGTATAAGATCTTCTTTTTACATGTGAACTGGAGGTGGTCTTCTGCATATAGTAGAAGTTATTCCACTTTTTATTATTTAATAATTCTTTTATTTCTACAGAAAATCCCCATTATAATCCATGTGGAGGGAATGTCAATATTCTTCGAACCAAATATTCAAATTGAAAATGTAGATATCGGCATGATATTGTGTACCACAGAAACTGAATTTAATTCGGAAACTCCAAACTATTCTAAAACAATACAAGTTATAAATCGTGGTCAGCATTCATATCGCATTGTGATAACCAAAACGAAAACTTCCGCACGACCCATTTGTCACATGACACCAATTAAGGCAAGATTACTTATAAAACCCAGTAGTATAGTAATGGGGCCAATGACAGAGGATCAATTTGTAATAACTGCCAATGCCTGTGAGGCTTTGAGCGTCCACAATGAATTTCGTATTGATATTGTTGATCTAGCGGAACCAACTATAAAGAAATCCTCTCGTTTTGTAATCAAGGCCGAGTTTACACAACCCCAATTAATTTGGAATCGTCGTGAAATCAGCATTGATTATTGTCGGACCCATAAGTATAAGGAACATCCGCAGTGGGGTAAGTACAAAATCAAGCCTATGGTAGTCGTGGTAAATATATCGTATTCTCAAAATATTAGGGACTTTTATATGTAAATGTAAATTGTCTGCTAATACGTTTTTTCTCTGCGAAAATTAAAAAAAAACTGGATTAGGAACTTCAATATGCCGAAAATTAAGCGGGACCTTGCATAAACTTGAACCTACATTTAAATTATATTATTGTTCTGCAATAATATATTTCACCTTCCAAATACCGAAAATAGGTGGTAATATAACGTGGATCTTGTTAGTTTTCTGTGGGATGATTAGACGCGTAATGATAACCCACCACAACGAAAAATGTACCCAAACTCCCCAAAATACCAAAAGTTGAGGTATTCAGTGATATGGAGGCTACCCTCCAAAGTGCATCAATTAAAAACGTGTTCAAAAATTCGGAAAAAAATCCAAAATTGATACATTTTGGTAAGGAGAAAGTCCCATTTCCCCTTACCAAAATGAATCAATATTACCGTTTTAACGACAATGACATTAATAATTTTTGTGGAAGATTTGCCACCCAATATGAACCATAAATATCAAATTAGGGCCAATTCGGTTTAAAAGCGTGTCCAATATACAGAATAACGGTGTTTCATTATATGGCGCCCAATATGGATAATTTCTGGCAGGCTGGTTCGCACAATAACTCTCGAAGGGAGTAACCGATTTCATCCAAACTAAGTTCAAGTTCGAATATGGGGAATATCGGTTCACTCCTTCTGGTACCTCCCCCACAAAATGGTGAAAATTATGCAAAAATTTAATTTTAAAATATCATGCCAATGAACTATCCGATTTGAACCAAACTATCCGATTTGAACCCATTGGTTCACTCCTTCTGGTACCTCTCCCACAAATGGTCAAAATTTGCAATATTCATAAATCCAATATTAGGCGAATGGAATGTCTGATTTGAATCAAATTTTGCGCAACCTATTATCTTTATGAAGGCCAAACTTGTAAATTTTTTTAAAATTGAAGCAAATTGAATAGCCGTTTTAATCAACATTTAATCTGAAACATCTCTGATAAAAACATACCCTATATAAAGCGAATAGTAAAACCTGTGTGTTATTCCGAGGGCTTTCGTAAACCATAGGCTGAGAGTATATATCTGTCGGCAACACCGACAGGCACTTCTTTACTTCTTGGTAAGGAGATTTCTACAACATGCCCAAACAAAAAAAAATATATATATATATATATGTATATGAGCGCCAGCCGAAAAAATGGGCCTATATTGATAGTTTTCAGGTTCATAAATGTTGCAATCTTTATTGACTGTGATCAAATAACTTCTTCGGGCAGATTAGTGGCAAAACTGCGCAATTGAAAAGATGAGGTCCTAGTCCACATATTGTACATGTTCCCAGTATCGTGCTGTCAATTCGGACCCCATGCGAATTTAGTCGGCTGCAGCCTAATGATCATAGTTGGTCTAAAACCACTCTCATTCGTCTAGGCAGCTGTCGTTCCGCTGCACCAATGCGTGGTGGATTTCTTCAAGAACTGCATTCACGGGATATTGGTCCATGCTATTCATTCCTCATCTATAGGCCTGTTGATCTAGGGGTTCTCTTTTGCTTCGTTTGACCTCTCTCTATAGATCCTGAAGATCTCTCCTTACGTGATTGGGTGAGGGCAATCATATACATTATATATATATATATATACATTATGTGATGGCATAAATGTTCCGGAGATAACTCTCAATGTACTGGTAGTAGTATGAACGTACGGGTAAGACAATACCCACTGGTGATATAAGGAGATAACCTGTCGCAGTTCTCAGAGCGAAATTTTGATAGGTTTTTACATTCTTCCACTGCATATCTCTTACATTCGAAAACCACCGGCGTCTCTTAGCTTACCACCGATCGACCTATTACTTTTCAACCCAAGAGCTGCTTACAAGCGATATGAGGACATTTTTCTTTCAACTGATCTTATAGCAAATACCGTGAATAACTAAAGTAATATTTTTTTATGGTCGGCATATGTGCACCAAGCCGTATAGCGGGAGCTTCAGATCAGAGTGTGGATTTGGCGCGGGTATCTTTACATAAATTTACATTTTTTCTAATTTTTTTGAATAAAAGCAAAAATGTTGGAAATAGTATAAAATTTTAGAATATGTTTAGATTTGTTCGAAATGGTCATCTTTTGCATGAATTATGGCCTTCAAACGGCCAATTAAACTTGAGGTGATCGACACTTTGGTATTTTTAGTGACAACCTTGCTTTCCGCAATACTGCAGACACATGGAATGTCCAAGGTCTGCGGCCCAAATGTTTGCGTGCCCAAGGCTTTAATACGCCCTCCAGAATATTTTCGCGATAATATTCGGCATTTATTCTGATGCCACGGTCGATTAATACGAGCAGAGAGCGACAATCGGCTGTTATGGCGGACCACACCATCACAAATAAATCACACTATCACGCTTGAATTCCATCACGAATAACTTTTTTTCTGGAAAATTCTCACCAAAATGCTTTTGTACGCTTGTAAACAATATAATGAGCAGTCACTGGCATAATTTTAACATCTGTCGGACGAGTTGCTTAGAAATGACAGCGGTCTGAAGTTGTTTGCAGTTTTTTCATCTCAGCCCGTATATTCCTCAGATATATCATCGATAATGAGATCAGCAATGAGGCAAGATCAATCATAAAGCCAACCACATACATCGCGATTTTATGCCGTCCGGGAGGTGTGGAATTTCAGAAAGGTAGATTTTACACAGTTTCGAAGATATCACCCCTCCATGAGAACTCCCTGTTTTACTCTACGGGTCTTCAACTTATTGTTTCTGAATTCCACATATTGACTGGCGATGAAAAATGTAGTTGATTAACCATCGTTTTAAAGTATGCCGGACGTTGGTCTTCTCTATGTCCTCGAACAGCTTCTCATGGTTCCGAATCCGAAATCCGTTTAGATGTTGGGCAACTGAGAACCTTCTTCTCATCAGAGGGAGGAATAGTGACTCAAGAGCGAAATCGGGTACCGCTGACATTCATGAATGGCTTCAGTATTTAATTTTCAGGATTCAGGAACAATTTGAGTGGCTGATAGCAGCTGATAAATTCTATACTCCATTCTCATCCAGTTACTTAAGCATAACATTGAGATTCAATCCGGACCAAAAGCTTTGGTTAACATAGTGATTTGGACGTGAAATGTGATTTTACCTCCTCGACTCGGAAGGCTCTTATACGACGAAGCCCACTCCTTTCCGCCTTGTCACTATAAGGGTGCTCTTTGAACTGCCGTCGACTCAACTTGGACTTACTTCGGGTATTCGTCCAGCAGGTATATGACGTGCGGCGGAAGCAGTATTGATGTTCCGGAAAATTCTCTTAGGTACCTGAGAATCTATGAAAACAATCAGCTTTGCCATGTTTCAGGAATGTATTGCGTTCAGAGGTTATGAACTATGGTCATTAGAATACTAAGCAATGAAATCCTAAAAAAACAAATTACAATCATTTAGGTTATAAACGTTGCCAAAATACCGAATATCGGACTGTGCCTTTATATGAGCGCTATACCAAAACTTGGACGGATACATTCCAATTTTAATACCATACATCCTTGAAGTATCAGTATCTTAAATATTGCGATTTCTACCGTTATTTCTACGGACAGAAATAGATGGACATGGCTAAATCGACATAGAATTATATTCTGCGGTCTCCAAAGTGGCAGATAGTTTTGTGATAGTCCAAAAAAATATTAAAAAAAATTCCAGGCTTTTGAAATCCTATAAAAATATTTTATTTAATCCACGCCTGAGATAGTCCTAAAAATATTTTTATCCGAGCTCGTGATAGCTCTAGAAGAAATATTAAAAAATTAAATTTGCAATTATTCATCTGAAATCATATTATCACACTTTTTCAGAACTTCTGAAACTTTCCAATACAACGAACAATTTTATTAAACTTGTCTGTCTCAAGATAGTTGGACCATTTTTGCTAAAAGAAAATTTCGAATATAATCCACTGAAAGATCTTCAATTCTCAATACATCCAATGGAATCTAAAGAAGTTTTCATAGTTTTGGATAAGAATGCATTGAAAGAGTTTAAAAATTCGTCTGTAGAAGGGCGCATAAGCTGTTCAGCGAATTCACATAAACAGGTAATACTGAAAACATTTGCGTATTCTCAAAATTCAATTCCCCATTCCTTTGGTTTCAGAAATCTGTGAGCATTAAACTGAATATATATACACCCACCATAAATATTAAACAAAATAATGTGATACTGTTTGTGAAAAATTCCGAAGGAGGTTGTTATATACCAATTCATAATGCAGGAAATGTTCCCGCCACCTATAAATGGTTAAAAATCCAAGAAACATGGCGATACATTAGTGAAGTAAACATAACATCAAAAATATTAATAAACAATTAAAATATATTTAAATTATAGGAAGATGATCATGAACAAGTTGCTGACATAATTATATCTGATATTATTAATAGCCTTCAGTTGGAAACAATTATTTTTGAAAATGATTCCGAACCAAATATGACCAAACGCTATAAAAAATTACGTTGCTATTTACCAAAGTTGAACGATCCAATTGGAATACGGAAAATATTAGATGATGTTATAAATGAACTTGATTTGACACACAAACGTTATAAATTTAACTTGCGGGAACCTCCACCACCTGCTGAACCAAAGTTGTCTTCATCCCGTTCAGAGTTATTGGAAGATAATAAATGTTTACATGAATTATCTCCAGATGTCACAGAAAATTATATTCAAGATGTAAATGTAAACCAAGAACAGGAAACTATTTTGGAAAATTTGTCAAAAAGACAAGATGCAGACATTCCCAAAACCTTATATTTTAATAAGACATTTTCCAAAATTCAGTCAACTACAAATTTACCAGAACAAACCTCATCAAGAGCATGTGTCTATCATACGTTGGATGCAATTTTAAATAATGTTAAATTGGAAGATAGTTATACTATATCTGAGCCCTGTATCGAAACTTGTGATCCCAAGGGAACAGTGTATTTCTTTGAAAAGTGTGGTACTGTACAAGGGCAGCAAATGGAAATGTGTGCTCTACACATACCTCCAATAAGACGAGGTAAGATATTTTTCAATTTTTAAATAAAAGAGATAAATTATTTTATTTTTTTTTAGGTTATGAGGTATCAGTTGCATTCCAGCTGCAAGTTGTTGGTGGTCAGAGCCAAGAATTCCACATTAAGTTCGTCAATTTGAAACGAACATTGAAACTCAGCAAGGAATGTGTATATTTGGGTGTAAAGGTAAGAGAAGCACACAGTTATTGAAAAATATGTTTCAACAAGTAAAATAGTGGTTATGTTCGTCCGGATGCAACTTTTTATACCCTGCACCTTCTGGGTTGCACTAAATCGGTCGGGAGCTTTATATGGATATTATGTTATTGCAATGTATACGAGTTGGTTTTTCAAAGATGATCTCCAAAATTACAGACAATTAGGATGGGAAACTGGGCAAGGGTCCTATATCGAAAATGTATTTCAAACATATTTTTACCCTCCAAAACCCCGGAATACAAAATTTCAGTCAATACCAAAAAATACCAGGACTTTTGTATAGACGTATTCAATACAACAAGATCTTCAAAATACTGCAATAGGATTATATATCAAAACTTGATCATATATCGAAAATATTCTGAAGATATGATTACCATCCTCTAAGATTGGAGTCTTTATGTTGAGGCCATGTAAAACATGTATCGATGTTGATATGTTTCTTCTTAGATATTTACCAGCCTCCAAAAATCCGGAATGTCAAATTGGTGGGAGAATGCGGATATAACCGTCTAACCGAAATTGATGCAATTTGGTATTTCGGGTCACCAGTTGGTTGAATACCTTTTTGCCGCTACCTTTGTGCTGTTTGTCATAGCCACCATGATAAAGATCCCGCTCCATTTTAGGTATTGTAATGGTTATGCGTAGACACACAAATTAGACCGATTTGATTCAGGATTTCCTCTTAAACTTCAGTAAGCTTTACATGTATGCCGACACGGTAAATACTCAAGAAAATATTGTACACCATCGTCCGGCTAATTTTGAAACGTTGGATAATCAACTAAATGTGTGGACTCAGTCATATGTGAAATTCAGAAAAAGGAATTGGAAGATGCGTGGAGTTAAAAAGACTGTTACCCAATCTCTTGAAATGTTCCAAATCCTCTGAAATTCCAGATCAACCGATAATACGATAATTGCGTAAGGCCCCATTATCAATGACATGACTATATAGTTTAATAGAGAACAGTGTTTCCATCTGAGAAATATATTATGAAAAATCCGAAAAATCGGACAAACACTGGCAGTTTGGTGCTCCATTAATATAAAATCGGACGAAAATATATACGGGAGCTATATCTTAATCTAAATCCATTTCAACAAACTGTAGTATTCGGATGAAAATATAAAATATATAATGGAGCTATATCTAAATCTGAACCTTTTTCAACATCAACAATTAGAAGTTTGGTCACCATTTACATAAAATCGGACGAAACTATATGTATAATTCTGAACCTTGGATCCTTGGTGACCAATGCCAAATTGCATCCTATTCGGATAAATGTGACCTGTACTCTGTTTAAAATTTAACATAGACAGACGGACGGTCGGACATGCATAAATCGACTCATAAAGTGATTGTATGCATATTCTCAAAAGGAACCATGGGTCTATCTTCGTTTCTTTTTGTCTGTTACAAACATATGCACAACGACATAATATCCAGTACCACAGTGTGTTGAAGGGTATAAAAACGAGAGTGTTTTAGCCAAACTAAGATCAGGATGGCGCAGCTCCATTGGCGACAAAATTAGAAGTAGGAACAAGGTCCTGAAGATACACAGTGAAAATGTATTCAAAACTGGTCAGAATGCGGCCCTGAAAATTACCACTGAGCGTTTCCTTGTGGCAGTAGTGGGACTTTTACATAAGGAGTTGAAGGTCTTCCCGTACATCGAAACAATAGGATGTTGCTGATGCAGTGACTACTTTGCTGTTATCGCCATCGAATGAATGACATTACCCAGACTATAGTCCAATAACACGTGAATGCTGAACTTAGAGGCTGTGCATAACAGCAGAAGAATGTACCTGTCATAACCTCATGGATACGATTCACCCACTCACCCAAAAGCAGTAACCCATGCTTATACGTGCAGCATTTGGAATCTACGGAGTCCACACAAAGCCGCAGAAGAGCGTAGCTTCCTTGAGAAACGTGAGTGGTTTTAACTCAGCTAAGATCAGGCTGGTTCAGATTACCTCTTTGCTCTCTGGTCGCAAAAAGAAAACGACTTTAAAACATTTTTAAATCAGGGTAGTCTGAACCAGACTAACTTCAAGTATACAACAACACTATATTAACAACAACTATAACAATGAATCAACTAACGGGTTGTGGCCTTAATAACCTTGGTTGCTCTCAGACGATGGATTTTCATGGCTGTCTCCTTAAACTTTGGATTGGCTCAGCTATCTCTTTATATCAGCCAACTGTAAGCTCTTTTTCTTTTTTCTTGGATTGACATTAGTCTATTCTTCGGAGATCTATCCTTCTGCGCATACGTTTTCTGTTCGCTCTTGTTTCTGATAGTTTTTCAACTCAGGTGTAGACTGTTGGCTGACTACTCTTAGCGATAACTTCGAACCTACAGATGCCAAGACACTCACATATGTAGGAGATGCTTGAAAACGATCATCGGATGACGACGGAGCGTGACTCGCTGTCCGGGTTATTGAGGATCTGCACTGTAATTTTATTTTTCTCTATGCCTTCCCTACTTGTTTTTTGTTTTAGGGTGGAAAGTATTAAAAGTTCGGTTCGATCGAACTTAACGATTTGTTTACTTATTTTTATAATTTCATATTATTTTTTATTAATTGATATTTGTTGCCTTTCACATTCAGCCATGGTATGAAAATGTCAAAACCCAAGTGATCGCTGAAAATATAACCCATTACGAAATAAACTTAAATATGGAAATATTACCCAAAACAACAACTAATTTACCCTCTGCCGCCAATGGCAATATGAAAATGTTAAATAATAAAGAATTGATCCTAAAGCCATTAGAAAAAATTAAATTAAAATTTGAAGGCATTATGGGCATCAACGAAGACGGATTTGAACGTGAGCTATGTATTACCATAAATAATGGGGAACGAAAATCATTAAAATTTCGAGGTCAGGGTATTATTCCTATGTTAATAAGAGATAACAGAAAATTACCTTATGAACCACAAACACCTGAGGAAATTATCGATGAATATCGTTTCCTGCAAAAGATTTATTATTTCGAGATATTTTCGGATATAACGAAGTTGGATGAGGAGAATACTAATAAACTAACAGAAGAAAATGATTTAAAAAGATCTTCATGTTCTCTAATGGAACTAACATCGACACAATCCGAATCATTGATTGACGAAAGTCAATCTACAACTGCAAGATCGACGACACATCGTGAAAAGGAATTCGAATTCTTTCGTTGTTTATTTCGAAATTATGTTTTAATAAATAATAATCAAGGATTACCCGATCCGATACAATTGGAACAATTATTGGAAACAGAAAAATTCCTCCAGCAACTGCATGAGCATTCGGAAACTGGTGAATTATTCAAAATTCTTTATAGAGAATATCAAAATGTGAATTATGATCGGATTTCCAAGAATTTAAAACATTTCGTCGTTCAACCTCTGCCTTTTAATATGAGAGGTCTTGTTTTGGATTTGGGTAAATTAGTATTTAATCAATATCGCAAGTACTCTGTGTCATTGGATTTTTTGGGACCAGGCATACTTATTGCAGCCGCTAGAAGTGCTATAGAAATTCCTGGTGTCTTTGTTGATTTTGAAGCGGTTGATAGGTAAGATGATCTCTTGTTATAATTTAATCATGTTTTTAAAATGAAAAAAGTTCTTGATGTTTACTGGATCGAACTATCAGGAACCGAAAAAATGAAAATCTTATAGATCGATATATATCTGCGAATAGTTTTTTAATAACTCTATAACATGCAAGACTTTGCTGGAAAATAAGACTATGTTTCTAACATTTTCCAAAATTGGTTGATACATGGTTGCTAATCGGGCCTATTTTGATAGTCTTTGATCATAAATCACAGTCGAAAATTGGACTAGAATTCAAAATTCCCTCAATGGGCTGGCATTCTTATATACTCGTTAAGTTCGTCCGGGACGAAGTTTTTATAACCTACACCATGAGATAGACAAAAAAAAAAAAAAAAAAACTAAAATCTATCGGGACTTTTAATATATGGGGCTATTCCATAGTAAATTGATGTCATATGAAAACGAAATATCAAACTGCCGACATTCCGTTTGGAAATTTGGGCTAGGCTCGAACATAACACGTGCCCTTAGTATGGGGCTATGTATATACAGTGGCCCCATCGCATAATCGGACAAAAGGAGTATTTACTATAACCGGAAGATTTTTGAAAGCAGGTAATTTCATGATAGATCATCTTAAAATACATTTCTATTGGTAATTTTCATTATATTAAGGTTCTGTTTACTGACGAAAGCAAATTTAAGTTGCACGGATCAGATGGAAAGATGTATGTGTGACGTAAGCCAAATGCTGAATTTAATCATAAGAATACAAAAGCCACTGTTAAGCACGGAGGAGGTTCTGTTATGGTTTGGGGCTGCATGTCGTGTGTGGGAGTAGGCAATTTGCATTTTATTGATGGTAAAATGGACAAATTTGTCTACCTCAACATTTTAAAACAAAATGTAAAGCAAAGTGCAGACAAATTGGGTATCGCGAACAACTTTTCCTTTTATCAAGACAACGATCCCAAGCACACATCAGGTGTTGCAAAGCTTTGGTTGATCCATAACTGCCCAAAACTTATACAAACACCTGCACAGAGCCCAGACCTTAACGTAATTGAGCATCTTTGGGAAGAAATAGCTAGGAGAGTGTATGAAAAAAAATTAACTCCTTAGTACAGCTTAAGGAGGCTTTACTGGAATCGTGGAACTCCATAGAGCCGGAGGTATGCCAGAATTTGGTCAAATCAATATAGAGGGTTTACAGGCCGTTCTGGACAACAAAGCATATGCAACTAAATATTAATTTCTCGATTTTTTCATTTTTTAACATTGATACTTTGCTTTGTCCGATTTTGCGTTGAACACAATAAATTGAGTTAATTTTGTTTTTCTAACGAAATTTACTGTTATCACTAGAAAAAGTTGTTGTTTTTGTATTGTTCAGAAATATAAGTAAGTAATGTGTAAATAAAAGCGAAAAAAACTACACATTTAGATAATTTTTTTGAAATGTATACCATTATTATATCTGACAACCACTTGTCCGATTAATCGATGGAGCCACTGTACATAGGAATCTACTTACTTGGGTCAATATTTATAAATATTGTTTGAAAAACGTACCCAAAAATTTGGGTGTACTGTTTTATGGGGTCAACCTTGGTAGGATGATTTGCTACCCAATGTCAAATCGATATATGAATGCCACTTAGGCTGTGAACCTCTTTTGATAATTATACCCTTCACCACACTGTGGTACAGGGTATTATGTATTTGTTCATATATTTGTTAAAGGCAAAAATAAACGCTTTCTGAATCGATTCATGCATGCCCGTCTGCCTGTCTGCCCATGTTAAATTGTAAACAAAATACAGGTCGCATGTGAAATTTGGTACAACTGGCCCAAAGACTAAAATTAGATATAGCTCCCATAAATATTTTTGTCCGATTTTATATAGAAGGAACACTAAACGCCCAAGCTTTGTTCGATTAAGAGTCTATAATGAAGTGTGTAAGTTTCGTTGAAATCGAACCATATTGTTACGAATATAACTTTAGATTTAAGTTAATTTAGATGAATTCCGTTAATTTAAGAATTTGAATTGTAACGTAAATTTCTACTACGCAGTTTATTCGAATAACTTCACAACAACAACTACTGTATAGATTTTTCTACATCCTTCCATTTCCTCTTTCATTTTCTATTTTGTTATTGACGTACAATTCTTGTTAAACGTCATCATTGATGATCGCTTAATTTCTCTTTCTTTGTTACTCCCTCGCCTGTATATGTGTTGTTATTGTTCACTCAATGTAAGTTTGTATGTGTTTGTTGCATTGGTAGATTGTTCGTAATCTAGGTGTTACCAGATCGTCTAGAAACTTCTGTAGCGACAGGCAAGGCTCATATAAATAGGGGAAATGGCAAGGCAGTTAGTCAGTTGTGAATCAGATCGCGAATTGAAACCGTCGAGTAAAGTAAAGTGCAAAGTTGTGTGAATAAAATCATTGTAATACTCGTAATCAGAAAGAACCCGCGTTTTATTTAGTACGAACCGTATTGGGAAATAAAACAACGTCTACACGGGATTATGTAAAATCCAAGAACATAACAATATGTATTGTTCGAACGATTTAATGTAAATACTACATAAAACTACCAATGTTCGTCCGAATGAAGGTAAATGGTACACCACACATCCAAGGCAAAATTGTCTGGAAACAAATGAGAGTTATGCCAATACTTTGACCCCTTTTTCTGTCAGAAAGTATTTTATCAACAGAGAACATCCGGAAAAGTTCCAAATTACAAGCCACTTCGACGGGGAATGACTCAAGGACTGTCTAAAATAGGGCGGGACCTTTATGTGGGGGAATAGCATATCAGAATATTCTGAAAGGTGATATTTTATCCTCTGAGGATCTGAAATAATAAATTGTTGTTACTTTGGTTGGAAAATGTGAATTTTCAAATTATTTAAAATCGGGGGGCCATACTATATGTAGGCTATTCAATTCTGCTATAAGATATTTTAAGTTCTAAGAGATCTGTATTAGAATTTTTTTTTCGATAGGTCGTCAGCCACGTTATAGTTTTTCTAAAACTTAAGACACATCTTCACATCCCAGATATTTACCGACTATAACGCTACTTTACACATCCCAACATTTTGGAAAGGTTCAACATTATTATGGTCTAGCCTAATAATGAAAATTCGAGTATTTATCATTAAAAATGGCTTTTCAAAGTATTCTCCAGCATTATCGAAGCATTTTCTCCTGACGCTTTTTATACCCTTCACCACACTGTGGTACAGGGTATTATGTCTTTGTGCATATGTTTGTAACAGGCAAAAGGAAACGAGATAGACACATGGTTCCTTTTGAGAATATGCATAGAATCACTTTCTGAGTCGATTTATGCATGTCCGTCCGTCCGTCTGTCGATGTAAAATTGTAAACAAAGTACAGGTCGCATTTATAATCCGAATTGGATGAAATTTAGCACAGGTCACTTATTTGGCCCAAGGACGAACCCTATTGAAATTGGGAAAAATCGGTTCAGATTTAGATATAGCTCCCATATATATATTTAACCGATTTAATGGAAACGGTCCCAATATATATTTCGATTTGCACGAAATTTGGTACAGCCTAATCATTAAGGTCTAGAATGATGTCTGCCAAGTTTCGTAAAAATCGGTCCAGATTTAGATATAGGTCCCACATATAGATTCGTCCGATTTCATCTAAATGGTGCCCCCAAAGTCCCTATATATCTTGCGATTTGCACGAAATTTGGCATAACGTACTGAATTCAGCCTAGAGTGATGTCCGCCAAGTTTCGAGAAAATCGGTCCATATTCAGATATAGCTCCCATATATAGTTTCGTCCGATTTCATGCAAATGGTGCCCAAAGTCCCTATATGTCTTCCGATTTGCACGGAATTTGGTATAACGTACTGAATTGAGCCTAGAATGATGTCTGTCCAGTTTCGAGCAAATCGGTCCAAATAAAGATATAGCTCCCATATATAGTTTCGTCCGATTTCATGTAAATGGTGCACCAAAGTACCTATATATTCTTCGAATTTCACGAAATTTGGTATAACGTACTGAATTGAGCCTAGAATAATATCTGCCAAGTTTCATGAAAATCGGTCCTGTTTTAGATATAGCTCCCATATATAGTTTTGTCCGATTTCATGTAAATGGTGCCCCAAAGTATCTATATTTCTTTCGATTTGCACGAAATTTGGTACAGCCTAATCATTTAGGTCTAGAATGATGTCTGCCAAGTTTCGTGAAAATCGGTCCAGATGTAGATATAGCTCCCATATATAGTTTCGTCCGATTTCATGTAAATGGTGCCCCAAAGTCCCTATATATCCTTCGGTTTGTACGAAATTTAGCATAACGTACTGAATTGTGCCTAGAGTGATGTCTGCCAAGTTTCGAGTAAATCGGTCCAGATTTCTATATAGCTCCCACATATAGTTTCGTCCGATTTCATGTAAATGGTGCACCAAAGTCGCTATATATCTTTCGTTTTGCATGAAATTTGGCATAACGTACTGAATTGAGCCTAGAGTGATATCTGCCTTGTTTCGTGAAAATCGGTCCAGATTTAGATATAGCTCCCTTTTATTATAGATTGATTTTAAGTAATTGACGCACCAAGGAACCAATAGGAACAAAACGTTCTGAAATTAGTATAACCTAACCTGTGACAAGTTTGTTTGAAATCGCTTAATATTTGGATATAGCTTCCATATATATTTTCGCCCGATTTCAAGTAAGTTGGGCATCAAATTCCTCATGTTAGTCAGATTGACATCAAATTGTGCACAACGTACAAAATTGAGCATAGAATTACGTAGTTGCGTTTTCTAGAAGTACATACATAGCCCAACGGATGACTTATTTATATTTGTTTGAAGTCGATTAACATACTTTATGGATAGATCTAGGTAGATTCACATTTAGATAAATATCACATATTTTTTTTCATCCAATTACATGTTAATAGTCCTGTTTAATATACCCATAGTGGTGAAGGGTATCATATAGTCGGCCCCGTCCGACTTTACTACTTTCCTTACTGGTTTTTTTGTTGTCATTGGGCGCCAAGTCAGAATTTTTCAGTGGATGATCCATCGAATCCACGTTAGGCTGCAGTTTTGCGCCGATGTGTTACAGCTCGTATTGTCATGTTGCAGAATGATTCGTCTTCTCTTGTTCATTTTTTAATTTCTCCGATGTCTTCAGACAAGCAAATTATGGTGTACGTTGCTAAAGCGGTTCAGTCGTCATATCACCAGTTTTACAGAAAAAACAAGTGACCATTTCTTTTGAGAGGCAACTTCCACGAACAACTTTCGTTGAATTTTGGCTGATGATCGAAGACACATATTGCCGTTTTGTTTCGGTTTCGGACGTACAAGCATAGATCCACGAAACGTCATTTTTGACAATCTTAAAAACAAAAGTCTGTTGAATCATAACGATACCCTTAGCCTTATGGCTAATGGTGAAAAATGTATTAATCCGACTTTAATCCAATATCCAGTTTGATCCATATATTACACATTATAATATTTGTACCAATACTAGATATAGTCCGAAGTTCTGTCTCCTAGATTTGATCTACTCCTTCTTGTATAAATATTCACTTTTCTTCAGATCTTTTATAACGATTTCCTTCAGCTCATCTGTTAAAACTTCCTGAGCTTCCACTCATCCATACTTCACATCAACTCGACTATCGTATATAGAAACTCTCTGACCTTCAGCATGACAGCAGCAGACAACATGACTTTCATCTCGTTGTTAATGATTCACAGGCCTTCAGCTTGTCTATAAGGGCTGTCCAGGCCTTCAGCTATATATAGTGACTGTATGGTCATCGGCTCGTCTGAAAATACGCTCTGGCTTCCAGCTAGTCTGTAAAGATTGCTGGCCTTCAGCTCGTCTATAAGGGCTACCTGAGACTCCGGTCGCCTGGTAATAAACAGGATTCTATATTTTTTGACACGGATATTCCCATGGAATGCGCGCACATCTAATTTCAGTCTATGCGCAGTTACACACTAATTTATTAATATAAAAATATTAATTAAGAACTAACTATGACAATATGACTATCTGTTTTAAATTAATTTGTAAAAGAGAGAATTATCATATACAATCTTAAATATTCAGCGGGGTTGTTGCTCATATCAACACTTATTTGATATATTGTATTTGTCATTTATATCGAAATAATTTTGAAAATACATATGCAGTGTCTAAAATAAAGAAACATTGGATAGCAAAACTAACGACAATCGAGTGGTTACAGTTGATCAAAGTATGAAACAATTTTGATAATAATGAAATGTTTACATTTTTTGGAAAAAGTGGTGGCTTTTTTCGTGAGTATAAGACTTTGTACTTGTATTCTAAGCGAGATATATCCACAATATGGAAAAAATAAACTATGTGTAGTAGACCCTGGAATAAATTGTTCATGTCTATATTCCCTTTTCAGAACTGGAGATTCCCAATTTATCTACGATCGTTCGGATAAAAATCAATGTCAGACGAAATCTCCTACACGTTATCGTAATATGTATGAACGTGAGCTAGATGCTGAGATAGATCCAAAAGTTAAGCATGCTCACTCCTTTGACATAGACAAACAAGTTCAACATCAGCGCCGTTTTCGCCACAATCGTTGCCAGCGTAAATGGTTACAAAACTATTATGGCAGTTTAAATAAATCAATTTATGCCGAACATAAACATCTGTATACACATTGTAAAATTTTTACCAAAAATAAAAAGTACATATCTTCGGCGAAACTTAATGTCGTGATACTAATACGCCCTGAGAAACGATATTATTTGGCAAATCAACATATTGAAGATTATGTATTTATTGATGTAAGTTTTTTTATGTTATAGGATTTTGTAAAAAAATCGAAATATTTTAAATCGTTATAAAATTAAAAAAAAATTAAATTTAAATTTTAATACAAATATTTGTATTCTTTTTTTTCAGCTACACATGGGTCCTACTTTACCCATTTTGCTACGTGGTACCATTACGGAACCAGAGTAATAATTATCTTCAATAAAATTATATTTTTCTTATTTTTTTATTTTTAATAAATTAATTTGATTTATTTTCTATACATTTGTTGTTGTTTGTTTCGTATTTTAACAATACATATTTAGCTGTCGGAAGAAATAATGAAAAACTATTAGTATAACAAAAGAACTGGCAACTGGTATTCCGGCCGATTTGATCCAACCCCAAACACTGGAAAATAAAATTAAAAATTGTTTTAAATACTTTTTTTTTCAAGAAATGTAGAATATTGGACTTACCTAAAATCATCCGGATAATATTCATATGGTTCAATAGGTATTTCACCGCAATTTGTTATAATAACCGGATGTATGGGATGATCATCTCTATCTGTTTTCACCTGAAAATATTGCACGTATTTTTAGTAAAATTCTATATGATATAGTTATGAGGGAGATATGAAGAAATTGGGTTAATCACCATAAAATATTGCAAATAATATAAAAGATATTCAGGAAATTAAAATTAAATTAATGCTCACAGTACGGCTTATTATAAATTTTACTGGAACGGGAAACTAGGAAATAAGTTAAAATTGGATGTCAATTCTTCAAAAATGGCGGGAAAGTACTATGAAAACAATGGAACATTGATTTCTTGTCTTTTGGGACCCAATCTAATATCTTATGAGTGATTTTTTTGTAAAGTATGTCTTATGGTCGTAATATCATGGTTCAAGGATATAAGGACAAAAAACTCACAAGGACTCGATATAGAAGGGGGAATACGAAAATATTCCTCATTCTACTGAAGACATTTGATCTTAAAAACTAACAAGCAATAATTTGTTCTTCTGGTTATTAATATACAAGGGCTTCCATCTCCATACAGAGTGAGATGAAAAAACTGCAACCAACTTCAGACTGCTGTCATTTCTAAGCCCCTCGTCCGACAGCTGTTAAAATTATTACAGTGATAGCTCATTATATTGTTATCAAGCGTACAAAAGCATTTTTGTGAGAATTTTCAAGAAAAGAAGTTATTCGTGATGAAATTTATTCACATTTAAATGTGAATAAATTTTTTGTGTCTTGTACCATCGCTTGTTACTGTGATACTGGTAGCGTAGCCCGACATCAAGGAAGTAGACGGAAGAAAACAGCAAAATCAGCAGAAATGGTTTAAAAAGTAAAGAAGCGACTTGATCGAAACTTGCGTCGCAGTGGCCGAAAAATGGCTCGTTTGCTGAACATATCGCAATATTGGTTCGATTGAGACAACATTTTATACATGTATGCGAAGTTTTGTTCAAATCGGCTCAGATATACATGGCAATATTCGCAATCAGGCAATATTGCCAATCAAAAAATCAGCTTTTTTGTTTTTGTGGCACATCAATGATTTTTGGTACACATATAGAGAAAAATGTTCTGACTCCAAAACCGTTCGCGATCAAATTTTTGGTTGATGCGCGCAAAAGTTATCGAGGTTTTAATTTTGGGCATAAGAAAAAAATCTTAAAATTACGCCATTTATTATATTGACCAAAAACATTGATATAGATCTTCCTCCGTAAAATAAGAATATGAATATATTATAATAATCACGATAAAGTTGCACATCTTCGCGAAATATGAGAAAAATATAGGAGATTACATAAATATTTTCATTATATTAATGACACACACACCTAAAAATTAATTTAAAAATATCTACATAATCTAAACACCATGATGAATCAAATGATATCAAAATCACGCAAGTCCGTGTAGCGGTTTGTAAATCACAGCGACAACAAAACCAGATATTGAGGAAAAATATTTGTTTTTGGTTCGAAGAAATAATATCATCATATTTATTTTTTAATTTTATACAAGGAATTTCAAAAAAAATGTTGGGGTTATTCTTCTATTTTACCCGAATTTCGCCGAAAAATTACCATATATGAAAATAATCACTTCATGTGTATAAGTATACACCTTGCGGATTGTACCAAGACCCTTCCGATAAATCTTGAGGTTCTGTAAGAATAAATAAATCTTAAAATAAAACTATATTATGAAATATACATTTTAAATTGCGTCTAAATCGCGTAATTATCAAAATCATTTGATGCGCATCCGGTTTCAAAGAAGTACTGAAGTTTATCTCCCAATCCATGTATATTTTGCGAAATTTCATTTGACGGCTAAGATGTGCCACACGTTGCATTGAAGTACCCAAAAATCGTAAAACGTGAATAATTTCCGAAAACTCCATATGCCATTAACGTGCATCCGATTTCGGTGTGCACCCTAAAAAAATACATTGATCTATACCGATTTCAATGTGGTCCATTAAGAACCATGGATGTGCCAGCTCACACTATTTTTGAGATAAATTGGGTACATCTCTCTTTCGGCTGAAGTTTTTAAAGTTCTCTTTTCGAAAAAGATCAAAATCCGTATAAGGTCATTTATTGAAGCGGAAATGATCCACAGAAAACGCAATTAAATCCGCGATATTTTCAAAAACATTTTTTGCCAAATTTCGTGTTTTTGGAAGGCCAGTTCCCGCCGTTCTAGTAGATGGATTTTCACGAAGAAGATTTGATATCATCCGAAACGTAAAAAACCTTATTGAACGCGGGTACCCATATCATTAAGTTGACAGATCTAAAAATTTGGCCCGAAAAATATGTTTTTTAAAAATTTGATCGCATAAAATTTTCACCTTCGGATGAGTATAACTTTGAAGCTGTGCATACTACATACCCAAAATATATATCAAATTACTCAGATTCGCGACTAGAATACTCTTATAAACGATTTTTAGAATTTCTTTTTGCGTATTAAAGCTAGAAGTAAAATGCAAAAAACACTCAAAATCGAGCTTCAAAATATCAGGATCAATTAAAGGTAAATGCAGTTAAAATTTTGAAAAATGATACATAAGGGGCGTAGTCCCCATTTTGTTGGCTTCTAGTTTTACTTTGACACGAAGACAGTGAAATGAGTGGCTTAATCACAAATCGATAGAAAACATAAAAAAACTGGTTCGCCTCAACCTGTTTTTACACATTTTTTTACATTAAAGTAGACACAGCTTCCACCAAAATAAAGTTTGGAGGTCGATATCATAAGCAGTTTGCAACGACAGATCAATTAACCCAAAACTATTCACTTTTTTTCATACACTTAAGTAATTCCCGAGTTATAAAGGGGTGAACCTCCGCTTCAGCTATGTTAAAAAATTGGCAATATTGCCCATATATATAGTTTCGTCCGATTTTATGTAAATGGAACTCCAAAGAGTTAAATTTAGGCCGATTGGCACTAAGTTTTGCAATGCGAACTGAATTATGTCCAAATTTATGTATGCGATATTTTATTGGAATCGGTTCAGATTTAGATATAGCTTCCATATATAGTTTCCTCCGATTTTATATAAATGGTGCCCCGTACTTTTGCATAGCGTATTGAAGTTAATACATGTTGACATTCGTATTGCAATCACTGCAGATTGACATCAAATTTTTCATAAATGTCAGATTGGTATGGGTTGTTTTAATTTAGTACAAGTATCTATAACATCACGCAGTTAATTTCGTCCGATTCCATTTCAATGATCCTCCAAAAATTCTATGTCTATTATATCTAATGGATATTGTACATATGAGCATCTCTTGTATGTACCGGAAGTGGTGAAGGGTATCATATAGTCGGCCCGTCCGGCTTTTGAACTTTCCTTGCTGTTTTTTTTTTTTTTTCATTTTGTTCGAACATTTTATTTGTTCCAGGACTTTTTCAATAGTATCATCAAATTATATCGGCCTCAAAGAAAAAAACCCAAAAGTTCTAGAGCGGAAAACTAGTTAAAATATCAAAATAAGATGGCTATACTTCAAAATCAACACAACAGCCAATCAGAAGTTGGCATTCCTAATTATCATTTTTTTTCGTGGAAATTTACAGGTTCTGGAACGGAACTATTAACGTCCAAAAGTATGTTCTAGTTTCATGCAAATTGTACACCAAAAACCTATTGTTCGGATTGAAGTGATTTTGCACGGATATAGATCACATATGCATTTAATTTAGTCGGGCTTCTTGTCAAGGATCCACTATCGATGCTATATCGATATATGATACCAAAATCAATATAGCTTGTTTTGAATCTGATTTTATGTTAAATGTTCATAAATTCGTTACATCATAAACTCATTTTAAAATAAAAATTATTTCTGAAACATTATTCTACAAAATTCAATGAAATCATTGAAGATTAATCATATCGATTAAACTTACATCATCAATGGCATGCACAACATCCATACCCTCCAACACCTTTCCAAACACCGTATGTTTACCATCCAACCAACGAGCCGCCACTGTGGTAACATAAAATTGACAACCATTTGTATCGGGACCACGATTTGCCATACCCAAATAGCCAGGTCTCAAATGTTCAATATCCAATGCTTCGTCTTCGAAATAATCACCATAAATACTAATGGAACCGGTGCCATCATGATTTACAATATCACCACCCTGAATAATGAAACGATTAATGACTCGATGAAATTCCGAACCAACATAAGTGGTGCCATTAATTCCCCTTGTGCAAATATGACGGAAATTTGTTGTAGCCTTTGGAGCACGCTTGCCAAATAAACCGAATATTATACGTCCCAACGGTTTCTTATGATGTTTTACATCCATATAGATTTTCGAGGTGACAATAAAACTTAATGCCGTAGCCGAAGTAATGAAGGCGGTAAAAATCAGTAATAACCGAAGTAAGTTCATTTTTTTTATAATTTTTTTAAGAATACTTGTTACGTTTTATGTGATTGAGTCAACTTCCAGTACTGAAATGTGAATAACATACCAAATATTTACCTGTGTTTTTTTGTTTTTGCCATTTGGTGTCCCTCGGAAACCTTACAAATTTCGTAACATTTTGGTTTTAGGTCGATGTCGAACAAACCCTTGAATATTGCTTGCTGTACATTGACATTCTTTTTATTATTGATTTTTTATTTTCGTGAAATTCTTGTTCTGGACCCCAATCACCCCCACAAAGACGATGAATGAACTATGGGGAAGGAAATTATGTCATAGTCATTCTAGATAAGCAACCTGTAAATAAATAAATTAATACGCCGCGATATTTTACGAGGGGAAAGTGTAATGCTTTTGTTGCGGTTGTAACACAATCCAGATATTTGTGCAGGTCAGTGACATGATCATTGTTTCTCGTTTGTAATAATAGGTATGTTCGCTTACTCAATAATTTGTACAAAATGTTACTGGGTGCTGTTCGCAAAAGTCCACTTGAGAGAGTATTTCGGTGACGTAGGGGATGATAGATGCCAAGCAACGACAACGAAAAGACCCACGAAAAATACATCGACATATACCTATTCCTGGACTACAAGGCTGCATTCGACTGCCCAATCCGCTAAGAAGTGTTTAAATCCATGTCTGCGTTAGGCATTCCTGCAAAATTAATACGGCTATAGAGGATAACTTTAACTGGCACAAAGTCAGCAGTTAAAGTCGAAAATTACCTCTCGGAGCCTTTCAATAAGGAACGAGAATTCAGACAAGGTGATAGTTTGTCGTTTGGCCTTTTTAACATTCGACTGGAAAAGGTGATGGTATCAAAGCGTAAGACGTCCAGTAGACTCGGACCAACCGTGGAAATTGGAAACTACAGCTTCGAGGTAGTAAATTTGTGTATATACGTCGGTACCACCATTAGCAAAACTAATAACATCAGCTTTGAAATCCGGAGAAGAAAAATGTTGCCAACATGTTAATATGTCATTCCATGTTCTTGAAGTTAAAATACACATTTGAAGCCAAGTTTCAAAATATGTTCAGTTTTTGGCTTAGCCCCTATGTAAAACGTCCCCTCGATTTCAGATATTTTTAAGGAACTAGTATCATGTTATCAAGCGATATGATTATTCCAATATCAAAAATTTTCCGCTCATTTTTTTGGTTATTGAAAGTTCTTTCCGAATTTTCCAACATATATGTCCGCAATTAAGTACATATTTATTTATTTTTGTTCAGAAGATAAACAAACCTCATGGCGGATAATTTTCAACGTAGATCCATGTTATGGCAAATCCATGTTAAGGTCTCCATGTTATGGGGACCTTATAAGGGATCCGTCCGACTTTAAAATGATCACATATAATGATCACTTTAAAATGTTCACATTGCACATCGAATTCAAGTAGAAATTACCCACCATGACAGTTAATCGAGACATCAGCTGCGCTAAATGGACTACCTATTAATTGTGCCATGCACACCATAATATACTTGTGATTACATTTCGTCTACATTTAACTCCTAAAAGTATGCAATATTTTTGAATATTTCTTTCTATAAATATGCCAGAATCTACAACTACTATACAAATGTTGGCAATTTTTATACCCTTCCCCTGCAGTTAGTGTAGCTAACGAATAACTAACGAAATGATTAGTTACGCAGAATTACCATGCATTACTCGCCAAACTACCACCAATGCGTTTGACTAACGAATTTAACATGGGGATGACATTGCCGGTAGTCAATTTCTACCTTCTGCATTACCTTTCACTAAAGATTTCGCCAATAACATGTAGTGTGCTACTTATCTAGTCTATCTGTACCAGTTATTACACTAATGCTATTTCCCTAATAAAAAGACTTTTTTATTTATTTTTTTGGAAATTTATTTAAAACAATAAAATAAATAAAACTTATTATGGAAAAAAAGCCTTTTGGAGACGGATTTTTCTTTTTTTTCACCCTTACTTGGATCCTTGGAACTTCTTAGCTGCTCTTCAGAGGGTCTTTTGTATTTCAGGTCTGGATTCTGAAAAGAGATAAAGTAAAAAAAAAGTCCGAATCAAAAGAAATTATAATATTTTAAAATATTACCTATTAGTAATATTTATATATTTTCCAGTCCTTTGAAAATAGTTTGCCTGAAACCCATCAGTATTGTAGGCCATGACCAAATGGTTGCAGTATGGAGTTGAAAAATGCTACCTAAAACAATTCTATTAAATATTAAAATTATATTATAAATGGAATACTAAATACTTACATAAACATGTTTCATTTGAGGGCTTTAGTGGTGTTAATCGCTAAAAAAATGCGACGCACTTACCTCCACGAACTATAAATTGAGACTATCACCAACGAAAAAATAAAATACTCAAAATTAAGTAAAAATTTTTTTTCCTTCTGCATTTTCTTCGGAATAACGGTGAAACCTGTTTTGCCCTGGAAAACAATGTTGCTTTTGTAGAAATGATCCTTCTCATTAATGATTTCGCCAGTCAGAATGTGTATCGTAAAAGAGTCGATATGCGAACTCCTGCATAACTGATGGCGTCAGGAGTAACCAGTCCATTTTTCGTTAGCGTAATACATAACGATTTTTAAGCAATTTCTACTTTTAAAACTGCAGGGTCACCACACTGTGGTACAGGGTTTATGTCTTTGTGCATAGGTTTGTAACAGGCAAAAGAAATCGAGATAGACTTTTGGTTCCTTTTGAGAATTTGCATAGAATCATTTTCTGAGTCGATTTACGCATGACCGTCATCTGTCCACGCATTTTGTGAATAAAGTACAGGTCGCATTTATTATCCGTTTTGGATGAAATTTGGCACATGTCACTTATTTGGCCCATGGACGAACCCTATTGAATTTGGAGAAAATCGCTTCAGATTTATATATAGCTCCCATATATAGTTTCGTCCGATTTTATGTAAATGGTGCACCAAACTCCCAACATTGGTCCGATTGAGACAAAATTTTGCACATAGTACTGAATTAGGTCTCTATTAACATATACCAAGTTTTTTTTGAAATCGGTTCGTATTTAGATATAGCTCCCATATATAGTTTCGTCCGATTTTATGTGAATGGAGCACCGTACTGCCAATATTTGTCCGATTGAGACAAAATTTTGCACAGTGTACTGAATTAGGTCTAGATTGGTGTATGCAAAGTTTTGCTGGAATCGGTTCGGATTTAGATATAGCTCCCATATATAGTTTCGTTTGATTTTATGTAAATGGTGCACCATTCTGTTTCAATGTTTGTCCGATTGAGACAAAATGTAGCACAGAGTATTGAATTAGGCCAAGATTGATGCATGTCAAATTTTGTATTGGATTTTGTGTCGATATACATTTTGGATAGCACACTGTGTTGCAGCATAGCAAATGGTGGTTGCTCAAATTCGTCCGGTTGCTCAAATTCGACCATTTATATATAGATATTTTACAATTTTTTTTTAAATTTCTGATTGGTATGTGTATGGGTTGTTTAAATTTAGTTCAAATATCTACCTACTTCATGCAGTTACTTTCGTCCGATTCCATTTCAATGGTCCTCCAAAGATGGTATGTCTATTCTATCTAAATGATATTGTACATATGAGCATCTCTTGTATGTACTCAAAGTGGTGAAGGGTGGTATCAAATAGTCGGTCCCATCCGACTGTTGAACTTCCATTACTGGTTTACTAGGAGGTACCAAAGAGAGTGGAACGATGGTTTTGAACTTCGGACATGACCTAGGTTTCGCAAAGTTTGGATCAAAGCAGACATTTAAGTCGTTTGATATTACGTTGTGCAATGTTTCGATTCTACTGAATATTTGTTTCGCTTCATATGAGATATACAAATTTTCAAAAAAATTTCGAAGGAGTGCACCGTTAAGTCCCATCTCCAATACGTTTATGGGTAATGACATAGACCCACACATCCCTTCGGAATAGCACACAAAGAAAATATTGAAGAATAAAAACGTAAAAAGGTTAACATAACATAAAAGTATATCTCATATCTTACTGATTGTAATTGCAACCTTTCAAATATCAATTTAAATAAAAGATTTTTTTATTTTTAGTTCAACATTTATGTATTATTTTTTATTACTTATTTTTCTTTTAATAAAATAGGTACTATTATTTTTAGATGGTACAAAACCTACATAATTCTTATTTTAAATAAAATAAATTGATGTTTTATTTTTTGTTGTTGTTGTATACAATAAAACAACTTAAACTTAAATTTATTGTTTTACTATGTAGTAGTAGGTAGGTACAGTACACTAAGCGATATATATTTATTTATATGCTACTATATAACAAAAATGTGTGGTGTAAACAAAAACAAAGTTCATATTGTACAAAATATTATTTATATTGATTATCTTTCTTTTAATAATAATTACTACAATTTATAATTACTTATTTCTTGTTTATAGTCTTCTTTAAAAACTACATTTCTATGATTTGAATAAAACGATATTTTTTCAATTAATTACAATATAAAGGTAAAAATTAACGAGATTTCAATTTTTGAAAATAAAAAAGGATAATAGAAATGACAAATATAAATGTCTTTACATGAAACGATGTAGTGGTGAAAACCAGTTTTTTTTAATAAATTTAAGAAGTATGCATATTTTGTGATATACGAAATATGCCTATTAGCTAAGCGCACAACAAAACAAGATACATTTATATAATGAAGTAGTTGTTGTTATGTTTCTTTAGGAAAACAACAATTAAAAGGAAATGCAAAATGGTACGTTCATTGTTGTGTAAAAATATATGTATAGTATGTATATAGTAATGAATAATATATATTGAACGACATGTTTCATCTATGTGGTAAGCATGTAGTTATTTTTCCATAATCAAAGTATGCTTCATGGCTAATTATATTTTCTATATAATTGGATACTGAATTTCTTAAGAGATAATTTTCTGTTTTTTTTTTTTATTTTATATATAAATCTTTTATTTTTTCTTCTTCTTTTATACGATAGTAATAGTTTACATATTTTTTTAACTTCACTTCTAATATAGAAATAATTCATAGTTTAACATCATCATCATCGTGTTCATGATCTTGAGCTTTTGTGTTTTGCACACAACAAAAAATACAGCAACAAAAATAAAATACATTTTTAAAATATCATGGCAATGGATACAGCAATAACATAACAGTCTTTGAGATCTCTCTCGGTCTCGGTCTAGGGCTCGCTCTCTAGGGTAACTCGCCTGCTGCTGCTCTCTCTTCTCTGTAGAGGCTAATATGTACTAACTTAAAGGCATCGGCCGGATACCAGCCACACACATTTAAGTAAGATTATCACAGTCATTTTTTGATTTGAGGTCAAGCGTGGGGGAATGTAACGTCGTTGTCTCATCTTCTTTGGGCGAAGAAGAGTCAGCCCACTCCTATATGCGTTTACTCTTGGATGGATGTATAAACTTACATGACTTGCCTAGGCGGCAATGACCACGCATAAAAGCCTTACAGATACCGTTGTTGTTATTGCCATTTCCGCCACCATTTCCACGATTATTTGGACCAGGGCCAGCTGGTCTCCAATTGCCACCGCCGCCGCGGCCATTGTTATCTTGGAAGTTATTTATCCAATTTCCACCACCATTATTGCGATTATTGGGGCCATTCATCATATTGGGACCGTTCATCATGTTGTTGGGACCATTCATCATGTTGTTGGGTCCGTTCATCATCATATTGGGACCGTTCATCATATTGGGTCCATTCATCATATTAGGACCATTCATCATATTCGGACCATTCATCATATTGGGACCATTCATCATATTGGGACCGTTCATCATGTTGGGACCATTGTTGCCCATTACACCAAAGTTATTGGCAGGACCCGTAAATGGATTCATGGGACCAGGACCGCCAAATGGATTGTTGTTGTTATTACCAGGACCAAATTGATTATTGAAATTGCCAGAGGGACCATTATTCATCATGTGACCACGCTGTGGTCCACCCATATCCATAATTGGACTACCATGATTGTTGTTGAAGGGATTGGGACCACCACCACTACCCATCATAGGTCCATTGCCACCACCACCCATGCCATTGGGTGATCTTTGCCAATGACCTTGGGGACTATTTTGCATGGCATTCATTGGTGGGCCATTGGGACCAACCACTGGTCCTCCTCCAGAATTACCACCAAATGGATTAACATTGTTATTGAAAGGACTAACTTTGTTTGGCGCAGCAACATATGCTCCCAGGCCAACGGCGTTATTGGGCGGTAAGGCACTACCCATCAGCGATTTGGGGCCTCCAAACATATCAACAGGACTACCCAAACCTCCAGTACCAGCCATAATAGCAATATCTCCATCTTTTGGTGAACCCCTTGGCTCTGGCCATGGCATGCTTGTAAAGTCATTAACAGCATCGGGATTACCGGTCAAATCGTCCAATGGTATAAGTGGTATGTCATGATTGAATATGGGTTCAATTTCCGCTTCGGCTGGCGAGTCGGGAATGAGAGCATGCGTAAAGTACAATGCCCGCAATGTAGTCATTTCACGTTCAGCTTGGATTTTCCTCTGTTTCGATTGGCTGCCATCTGGATGTGGTGGTACATCATCGACTAAAATCAATGGCCTCCAAGTGGTTTGGGGTTCCATGTTGTCTTCCTGATTGAAGCCGCGGCGAGCCATTACAATGGCATCACGTTCATTGAAACGCTCCAAATTTTTCATATCCATAAACGAGGTCTTGGTGACATTGACACGTTCGTTTTCATCAAGTTCGAAGAAACGAATCTGTTCCAATGATTCCTGGGGACGCCAGGTCAGCTTCTTCTTGGGACCCTTACGACGATGTAGCATAAGGACACCAGGTGGTCCATTGGGACCACAACCTGGACCAGGTTTTTTAACTACCACAACATCGCTGGCATTATCCGAAGATGCATCATCATTTGCCGTATCTTCTTTCGGCTTACCATCCTCATCTTTGGTAATATCAATAACTCCGCCCTCCGCCAAATCTTTTTTCTTCTCCTGTGCTACTTTTTGTTCTATGTCTTCCTTGACTTTCTTCAATGGAATGTCATCGTCATCATCTTCATTTTCCTTGTCGGTATTTTGATCATCGTCAGTTGTTTTCTTAGTAGGTTCATGATCTTCATTCTCTTTGTCCGATTTGGAATCTTCGATTTTGGATTCATCTAAGGTATCTTGATAGAATTTCAGTGGTGCTACCTTAGGCATATCGGGACTAGTTGGTGGGGAGGGACCTTCTTTGGCGCCTGTAGCCGAAGTGTTTGTTGGTAGCGGTGTATTGGCACGTTTGCGTTTAGCTACCTTTTTGGGTCCTGTCGCTGCCGATAGAGCATCTGAGAAGAGATTTGTTTCAACAAGTGTTTGTACTGTAAGGGGGAAAAGAAAGAGAGAGAAAATAAAATTAGTATTTGTATTTAAACAGAAGGGAGAGAGAGATAAATGAAGGATATAAGAGAAAACATGGCATCATTTCAGTGGGTGTTCAGCGGCTTTTGCAGTGTTCAATGGGTATTCTGAAAATAGATTTAAAAAATAAAGAAAAATTGCGATTGTCTTTTCTCTCTTTCTGTGTATATACTGAAGAGATGATACATGGGGTATATTGTAAAAAATCTAATAAGAAACTTAGGATTATTGTGTAATTCAATGTGTTTAAATGCATTTTTTAATTTTGAATCCTAGGAAATTAAACTTCGAGGCAGATGAGTACATGATCAGATGGTTAATACTTAAAAAATAGAACGCGGAATAACTGACAAAATTATTGGGATACTGAGTGATAAAATTGAAATTTGAAAATTGACTAAATATGAAGCAATGGAGCTAAAGAGTCATGAATACAGAAATACGTACATATACGGGGAAAATTATAAAGATCTGTCTGCAATATGCAATATTCATAAAATAGAAACTTGAAGAAACATGGAAGCAATGTTGACATTGTCAAGAAGAGATATTTAACCAACTAGTAGCCGAAAATTGTAGGCTGAACAGATCTTGTTCAAAAAAAAAAAAAACAGGGAAACAGAGCCCAGCTTGTAATCCTATAGATATTCATGTATAACTAAAGGAATTCAATAGTCATTGTGGAATAGAGGTGTCGAGGTATCATTATACTAAAAGAAATAGTTTTTCCGAAAAGGAAATATTTTTCCAATAAAACATTTGGATCAATAGTTATTGATAAATTGGTATTTTTATAAAGTATCATAATTGAATTATATCTGAAGTTCATATATTCATATTAGATTTTCAAATAATGTATAAAAGAAGCAGAATATGAAGACAATTTCTATATTTTTTGGAATTAAGGATATTTATACACTTGTGTAATTCATTTGGTACCTCTGAGTCATTTAACCTATTAACTTAATATATACAAGATTCTATATAAACCCCAAAAAATAAACACACATTTAATAGTTCCTTTGAGCTTGGTGGTAGGTAGTATAAAATATCGCCTTAATAATGATTCAATAATTTCTCTATATGTTCAAAAAATGTTGTAAATAATTTCAATATTATCGATTTTATGTTATTATATTTACATTGTATATGGTTGGAAAAGAGATGATTCAAAATCTTTTTCAATATCCAATACATAAATCACACAAGTCTTTACTTGGAGAAGTAAAAAAAAAAATAATGATAATAATAATAATAACTAAAATCTGTTATGTATAGAGGAGGACATTATAATTTGAAACGTTATAGTTACATTGCATACGGGAGAAAATCACATAAATTTTTACTTTGAGGAATTTATTATTCAATAAATTAATTAACATCTAGTATGGAAATTAAATAAGGCAGAAGGGGACATGATAATTCAAAGAAAATGTTTGTTTGGATTCTAATCCAGGAAATTTTCCAAAGAAGAATTTTATTTCAATGCTGACATTTGTAAGAAAACTGTGAAATATAAAAAAAAAAAATCCGAAAGAAATATCTTATTTAAAGGATTGGTATGAACAAAATAACTTCTTTAAAGAATCGATATATTTCTTGCAAAAAAAAATAATGGAAAATAAGGTCTATAATATGAGACAGTACGAAAAAAAAATATTTTATTGTAAAAAATAGCAGAAGAAGTATTAGCTGAATAAAGTTATTAATCTTTAAGAAGACTTTTAATTCCTTTATAAGAAATATCAAGCTGTCAAGTTATTTAGTTATGATCTAGATTCAGTCCTTGATATTATTTTTAAAATGTTGGGGAGTATTTGCGGTAATAATTCTACGTTGAAAGTGGGTTCATATTACGATTAATTTGTTCGCAATTTACATGCATTGCCAATGATATTTGTAATATTTTCTTTAAAACCGGAAATCTAAATCTAAACTTTTAATAACATCCAATTTGTCTAGTAATATTCATGATATTTTATTGTCTGATATATACGATTAATGATTGTCTTGTGTGAAGCCTGAATTGAACTATTGGGAACGGGAATTGTACATAACAATAATGAATGCAAAATCAATGAAACTTTTTTATATTTTTTATGGAATTGGGCGTTAGAAATATATTTTTAGAAGTAATAAGCCTGAATAAACAATTGGAAGCGAGAAATGTGCATAAATGGAATGAATGGATTGAGTGACATAACCTCAAAAACCATAAAACATTTTTTATTCCACCACTTTTTATGGAATTGAAATGTATATAGAAGTAATAATTGTCTTGTGTGAAGCCTGCATGAACAATTAGGAACTAGAAATGTACATAAACCTAATGAATGCAGTGAGTACCATAACCTCAAAAACAATGAACCGTTTGGAATCCATATAATTAATAGAAATGTCCTTGTGGACAATATATATATATATATATATATATGATATAAAATGATAGAATATATGTGGAATACAACAACTCGTCCTCCAATAGAAACATACAAAAACAAAGAGACGGACCCTGTCCTTAAACACTTAAAATGCATTGAATTAAAATTATCGATGTTATGTATTAATGAAGTTTGGAGGTAAGGAAAGGTAAGGTTTGTGTGAAACAAACTCAGTAATGATATGTCCTTTTACTTCATTAGATCACTTGTAATGAATTCATATAGAATGAATATATAGAAAATAATGAAGGTATAACATAACCTCAATTTTATAAAACAATTTCATTAGTAATAGGAAGCGTATGTAACATAAAGTTAATGGATAGCTTTTTTTATGAACATCGTGGACAACAATTGAAGACCGGAAATATTGAAAGTAATAGGCATATGCGATGACGCAACCTCCAATTAAAGATTACCTTGAAGGATCTACGGCAAACGTAATATTCAATGAATTTAATTCTGACATGGAATAGTGGAGGATATTGAGTGATATAAATTTCATAAAAATGCATTCAACTAATGGAATGGTTGGTGGTTATGCCAATTAGAAACATGTTAATAGAGGATCTCTCTTATCCTCCATTGAATGAAAGAAGTATGCAATATTTCATCTTTTAAACAAAATACAAGCAATCCTAAATCTTCATAAATTCTATCAAACTATCTAACCTTCTTTGCAAATATTGCATCTATCTCCCTATCACCTATATAATGTTGGCCCCTGAAAATCAACAAGTCATGTAACAGCAGTCAGCAGAGCACAGTGTGTGTAACAAAATCAATCTTATACAACCATAGCAAAATTGCTCATTACTACAGGCGTGACGACGACTACTACCAAACTTCAAGGACTATTCATCATATTTTATGTATTGTTTTTTGTTTTGTATGTATTTTATTGATTTCTTTTGCAATAAATAATAATATCTATTATTGCAGTTCCATTTCATTTTTTTCTTTTGATTATAGTTAATTTAAAACTAGGTGTAAATTAGAGTAAAATAATAGGATATATATGTATATTGTATTGTATACTTATCACATAGTTTGCCATACATCATCACCCGTTAAACAACCCCTTTTTCGACGAGGGGGGTTAAACACCACACGCGTATATTCATCGCGATCACCAAAAACAAAAAATAAAAATTGCTTACAAATTTTTGTAACGCCTTGTTCGTAAATTTGTGTGAAGCTTTGTAGCGCGCGTCGTTTTCATGTTGTTAGGAATGATAGTGGTGGTAAGTGTTGGAAAAATACGTTGCCATTTGCATTGAAGATTTTGGCAATGCCCATGAGAGTGTGAGAAATGTTGTTGATTTATGCACAATGTTAAAAAAAGGTAGAAGCAAAACGCGTGTGTGCCACCTAGAGGTATTATTCGAATTTTTTGTATCATCAGGGAATTACTCCGTTGGGAAATTAATTAAGTAATGTCATCGCACACTTCGTTTACTTTTGAAAGTTTTGTTTGAAACCTCGGCACGACGGGACCTACTTTGGAATACTGAAGCCATCCCTTTTTTGAGGGTTAAGTTCAGCATGACCCTACTACTATCCAATTTCTAAATGTTATAACTTCTTATGCACTTAAAAATAGCTTCATAGAATGAAGACACTACGCGCTACATTTATCTAGGCTTGTATATTTCAAACCCCGCGTTATCATTTCAAATAATTTCAACAATTGATCGCATTCAATGGAAACAAAGCTATTCCAATTCCAATATGTGGAGTTTCAACTATTCATTGCATTCAATGGAAACAAATCTATTCCAATTCCAATATGTGGAATATAAGGCCCACATGTTGTGGTCGGCAGAAGCCGGGGTTTAATTCCGCTATGACGTGAGGATCTTATAAACCCAACATCTTTGCACATTATCTACATGCCCGTTAGGCGTTTCGGAATATAATCAACTCTGCTATAAACCCCTTAGTGGTGGTCAGCAATAGCCACTTTTCCAGTGGAAGAAAATTGTTACAGCGTAAACTCACAGGAAATGGGATCTTATGGCCATACGCTGATAGCGAGAAGGACCCAATATTTAATCTAATCATCCAATCGGAAAATAAACCACTTCTCTTTAAATGCTCACAAGAGTTGGGATCTTATGGACATATAGAGATGGAAAGGACTCAATAGTTCATCTTTTCATCCGTTAGTCACTGTTATCCATTATCACATCGTAATGAAAATCACTATTATTTAAATGAAATATGCCCGGCTCTATTCTGAACGTTGTTCCACGATGAAAGTTCTAGGTGGAAATATTGGCTTTAAATCTCAAAAAGAAAAGGGCTGAACTACACCCGTGAAACCAGTGGGTATTCGAAACAAGCTAATGCTGGTAAGTGGAGCCCGAAAACCACTTCCTTCGATTAACACTCCTATTTTATTATCCTAATCATGCAAATTTGCAATAGAATAGAATTCTACCATTAAAAAATTGTTACGTTGCTAGGTCAGTTCTAAGTGGATCAAGCACATCGTCAACACTTTTCGAGGAATATTACAAAAACAACTACTTCATAGCCAGTTATTGTTGTTACTATAGCAGCCCTAATGCTACCAAATTACCATTCCAGACCTTGATCATATGGTCCTCGGGTCCTTCCGAATTGAATAATACAAATGTGAAGCTTTTTTCTCTCATTCTTCATAGAGGTATACATAAACCCTCATTTTAATAGGGGAGGTTATATTTTTCGTTAAGCAATGTTAATGGGTTTGATCAGGGAATTGAATTTAAATTAAATTAGTTCAATTCTGATTCCATGTTGTTCTGAGAAGTCAAAACATAGGGTTTTGGGTTACCCATTTTTGCGATAAATTTGTCCAGTAAAACAAGGACGAGAAGGCGACGTCTAATATTTATGATTCCGAAATATAATAATCTGCTTTTCATCTGAATTTAAATTAAATTAGTTCAATACTGATTCCATATTATTCTCAGAAGTCAAATCGAAACGTAGGGTTTTGGGTTACCCAATTTTGGGATCAATTTGTCCTCTAAAACAAGGACTGGACTTTTCAAGAGAAGGTAGCATCTAATATTTATGATTCCGAATCATGCCTTTCATCTGTGCAATTATTCTTAGGATTTAATATTCTCATCATAATGTTTATTTGCCCAAATTATAAATATTCTTCGAAATTCGAACTTTAATACAAATTGATTATCATTGAAGGAGTGGTTTTCCGAAACTGAATTTCTCTTTTAGGGAATTGCAAGAAAACATTTACTTGAAGTACGAGTAGATTTTCGAAGAATTTTTAATTAGAACCAGGCAACAGATGCGATTAAAGTTCCCCTCCTCCTAAGTTCACAAATAAAAATCATTTCATCTTCATATAAACCTAACCTCAACATAAATTCTCACAAAAAATATAACTGCATTTTTAAAGCAAACAGCAACGTTTTCCAACACTACAATACTTTTTATCATTTGTTTAGAGAGAGAGAGTGAGGTAACGTACACAACTCTCCCCTGGAACATTGCTCTTTTTTCATTTCATTCATTCCACTGTGTAAAAACGCCATAAAGGTAGCAAAGAAAAAAAGAGCAATGATCAAAGATTCACATTCACCACACACATTAGATTATACCGATTAAAAAAGTAACCGAAACGTTGCTGTTCAAAATTAAAAAAAGAATGTTCAATATCATCATCAACAAAACAACAACATAAAAAGTGAGGCCAATGATGACTTTGCTATATTCCTCCCCATGTTTTCTCTCTCTGGCTCGCTTTCAAGCAATACGGCTCTCTTCTCCATTATTTTGAGTCAGGCATGCAGCAGGCGGGCGGGCAGACAGTCAGCTAGCCAGCCATCCATCTCCACAGGGCAGCCAACAAACAACAGAGTATTTGGGTAGTATGAGTCATCAAAAGTTCGCTGTGGAGTAGTGGTTGTTGTATGTCGATGAAGAATCACATTTTATGTTAGCAGCAAACGTACAGCAGCAGACATTTGTCAATGTTTGTATAACCACCACGACACACACACTCATTCACAACATTTCTTTCCCTTTTGTTTTCTCTCTCACCAAGAAGAAGAAGGGGTTAATGTATTTTTGTATTTTTTTACGGTATGAAAAAGAATTTAAATAAAAAAACAAATAAAAAAAAACAAAAAAATGTTTATACTTAATTTGCAAAAGCCCCAACGCAGACACACACACTCAATATGAATGCCATTGTTTTCTCTGTAAATAGACGAGAAAAGAACAAAAAACCAAAATTAATATCGGTTCGACAAATCAAATACTTACTCTTCTTAGGGGCTATAAGTTTAATAGCTCCAGGCTTTTCATTAGCATTGGCTACTGTGGTCATATCTATTTTGGGTTTCTTCTCTGTGGGTGAATCCCGTGGTGGCGGTGATGACCTCTTCAGTGAGGAGGGTAAAGATGTGGGTAAAATGGAAGTGCCTAAAACAGGTGTAACCGCCGTACTGGAGGACGATGGTTTCTTAAGACCTTTGCGTGAAGGTGGTGGTGGTGCTTCTTCGGTTAGGCCATGGGAACGGAATTGGGATTTGTAGGTTTTTACGGTTTTGGACTTTTCAGCATCCTTGCGGATTTCAATGGACATTGAAGCCTTTTTGGAGGGAATTGTAATGGATGTGGGTTTGTTGGCATCATCATTGTTGCTGCTGTTAGCCGAGGATGATGAGTTTTCATCTTTTGATTTTTTACTTAGTTTGGCTAATTTATCGCCAGATGATGACGAGGAAGAGGATGATGATGAGGAATTGTTTTTCTCTTTATCGTAATCACGGTCCTTCTTTGATGATGACGAGGATGATGATGACTTGTCCTTGTCACGGTACTTATCCTTGGAACTGGAAGATGAACTAGATTTTGATGAAGACGATGATGATCTGTGTTTGCTAGAACTGGAACTAGAACTGCTACGTTCTTTGTCTTTGCTGGAACTGGAGCGATCCTTATCACTTTTATGCTTATCACTTGAACTGCGATGCGATGATGATGACGAGGACGATGAGGATTTGGATTTACTCGATGATGAGCTGCTACTTTTCGATGAGGAAGATGATGATTTATGGCTGGAAGATGACGATGACCTATGTCCCGAGGAGGAGGAGCTCTTTGATGATTTGCTACCATCTTTCTCCTTCTCCCTGTCATTGCTACTGCTACTACGTCTATCCTTGTCTTTGGAACTTTTAACATCCTTCGACTTGTCTGAAGAGTCTTCAGATTTTTTATCCTCAGATTTCTTTACATCTGCCGATTTACTTTTAACTTTCGCATCATCTTCATTGCCACTGTTGCTGTCATTTTCCTTTTCCGGTTTATCCAAAGAAGAGCTATTGTCATCGGTTTCCTCAATGTCATTGGTTTTACTCTTTTTCACAACGGTAGTGGCAGCATCTGTGGTATCTTCCATAGATTCTTCATCCTCTTCATCTTCTGCTTCATTTTCTTCTACAACTTCATCTTCCTCATCCTCTTCGTCTTCATCTGCTGCCGTTTCATCCTTGTCACTTGATTCACGTTCACTCTTCGCAGACTTTGGAGAAGCAGCAGCCGCTGCCGAGTCTGATGTATTTTTGGGAACTTTAGCTAAAAATTGATTACCATTTTTAACAACAATCTTATAAACTAGACCAGATTCACTGGCTTTTTTCTGTGCCGGTGTTAGACTGTATGATGCTGTGGAAATAGGTTCGGCGGCAACATCACCTAAAGGATCTTTTTCTTCATCATCATCGTCATCGTCGTGACATTCTTCGTCGTCATCATCGGCATCTTCATTATGTGCCTCCTCCTCTTCTTCTTCGTCGTCGTCTTCCTCGACCTCTTCTTGCTGTTCTTCCTCCTCATCTTCATCTGCAACTTCCTGTTTGGCAATTATTCTAGCCTTTGTATTTTTGCCAGCATTTTGTTTTGTTGCTGTGATTTGATGATTATTTCCCGGAGATGCTGTCGTCGTTGTTTGTTGGGCGGTTATGTTAACAGGAGTTACCATGGGTGCAACAACTGCAACAGGTGGTGATTTAATTACTGCTGCTGTTGCTTGTGGTGTCATGTTGTTAACGGTAGGTGTTGTGGTGCTTGTTACTGCTGATGATGCTGCGGCTGCGACAGGTGTTGTTGTTGTTGTGTTGGGTAATGTGGCATCCGGATTTTCGGTGACAACTTTTAGCCACTGTTCAACAAGACGTTTAGCTAGTATTCTCACGCCTGGAATTAAATAAAAAATTAAGGAATTAGTAAGAAGACATATTGAAAATTAATAGACGTAGTTTTTTTGAGAAAAGTTTCATTACAAATTTGTTAAAATTCAAAATAATTTAAATAGTATTTTCTTGATAGTCCTTTTGGTATCGTAATTTGGATTTATAGCAATAAATACGAAGGAAAAATAATAATAATACTAATAATAATTTATCAACATAAATCAATTCTGTCCCTGCAGGAAGGGTTTTGGTCATGAAATGAAAAAAGAGTTATGGCCTATTCAAAATTATATTTTGTTACAGAATAAAAAACGATTTATATTTAAATGAGCCATTTGTAAAGTCTCAACCTTGTAATGAGTTTTTAAAAGAAAGATTCAAGAAAATATAAAAAAATATTCTTTCTAATAGCTGAAGTTTAGATATGTTGATGGAAAATTAAAAAAATATATATTGTTTGTATAGATATAAACAAATAGAACAAATAAACTATTTTGAATAAAAACAAATAATTTTTTTTTGGCAATCTTAGATATCAAATCTTATTTAAATTCATAAAAACATATATCAAAATTAAAAATTTGAAATATTTTTTTACCGATTTTTTTTTTGTTTTCCTACTATTTTTAATTTTGTATATATTTCTATATTTTATTTTATTATTAAAAGGGTTCCATTTTTATTATATTAAATTAAGAATTTGAGTATGACAATAAACAAATTTGAACAAGTTTCTTTCTATTTTGTGAAAAAAACTAATTTGTTTTTTTTTTTTGAATTTATAAAAACAAACATTTAAAATAATTATATGATAATAAAAAACTATTAAAAAATTAAATCACAATTCTAATTCTTATATTTTATATAAAAATATATATTGGGTTAATTTTAATTTTTAAAAAATTATTTAAAATAAATGATTGAAATCTTGAAAATTTTTTGAAATCTTGAAAATTTTAAAAAATTTAAAAAAAAAAGAAAACATTATTTAAAAAATATTATTCAGAATTTATTTATTTTTATATTAAAGTAATTTCATTTTTTTCGTTTCACCATTTTAATAGTTAAAAAGTTTAATTCAAAATTTTATATTTTTTTAAAAAATATATATATTTTTAAATAAAAATATATATTTTTAATTTTAATAGTGAAAAAAAAACAAAAAATTAATTCAGAATTGCATATTTAATATTTTTTATATAAAATATATATATTTTTTAAAATTAATAACAAAAACATTATTAAAAAAATATTATTCAGAATTTATTTATTTTTGCCATACTATTTGTAATTTTCAAATCGTATTTTCATTATTTTCGTTTAACAATTTTAGTTAGGTAAAAATATATTTTTAATTTATATATTTTAAAGAGATTATTTTTTTAATATATATATTTTATATTACAAGTTTTTTTTATTTAAAAAAATTATGTTTCAATTTCCTTAAATATTTTTTTTATAATTTTACTTTAAATATCGCATTAATATAATTCAATTTTCTTTTTAATTTCAATTTTTAGAAATCTAAAAACCCCATTGAAATGTTTATTGTTTTTAGATTTGAATTGACAAAGATATTTTCATCTGCTTGTATAATACCATCTGATCAAGAAACTAAAACGTTTAAGGGGGAAGAAAGAAGAAGGGTAGAATAATCTACACATCGCATATAAACACGCACACATGTTACCCTTGACATTCCAATGACGCAATTTATTGTTGTTAGTAGTTTGAAATATAAAATATTCTTCAAGATCTTTGTATCACTATATTATATACAAAAAACCTGTTGTATATCTATATATGTGACCCAAGATGATAATTAAAACCATTATTTTCATAACACGTGTTCTTCATACAAAAGTAAAAAACTGAAGATTTTTAAATTTCTTCAAAAAAATATTTACCTCACTCCTATATATTGTAAATTAATAATAAAAATCACTAAAAACACTTTCAATATTTTATATAAAAATTGTCTATTAGAATTGAATATTATTTATATTCTGTTACTAATTGTAATTTCTAATGTTCACACAATTTTTTTTTTACATTTAAAAATCACTTCTCTCCTCAATGGCAAATAAATTGTGAATGCTGATTGTGGTGTACTACAACAGCAGCAAAGTTAAAATGTAATAAAAAATATCTATTATACATTGAGTCATGTGTTTTTTGTGGCTATATATGGAAAGAGAACAATTAACAGCGAACATTCTCTCCCTTGTACAGTAGTTCAAAGCCAAACAAGAAAAATTTACCTGGGCTATAGATTAGTTTGTAACTGGCAGATGTTTACAAATTCAATACAATTACAAAGGTAGTAGTAATATTGTATTGTGTACAGAACCACAAGATGTTATGTAGGTAACCTGGTATTTTTCAAAGGTATTGTGTAGAAGAAAATCTTAAGGGTGTACAATTTTCTTAGCATAAAAAATCTTGGGCAAAATATTGAATTTGTCAAATCAGCTGTCCTATTCAGGCATATAAAATTGCGTTGCTCTATTTTACTATAATAACGAGCGTTATATACAAACTACCCACACCACACATATTAGAGAGGTACTACTAATAACAAATTCATGTTGTACGCACTGCTGATAAGGTCATAAACATGGAATGATGATTAGTGGCACGTAGTCAAACATACGCACAGCTATACACATTGTTGTTGTTTTTTATTGTATAAAGTACAGTTCGTGCTTGTTCGGGGAAATCCAAAACATTTTGAAATCAAATAGAAATGACAACAAATGTGTAGATTGTCATTCTTCGAAAAAAGGTATTGACTAAGTAGGGTTATCAAGATTTTAAGTAAGAGATAAGTAGTGGGAAATATTTTTTAGAAATTCATTTTTGGGTAGAAAGATATGTTCCGTATATTGATGTTACAAGAAACAAGAATTCTAACAGCAGATCGTTGTATTTATTAAGGGTCATGTAGACAAGGGTTATCACAATTTGAAGTATTTGAAATATTTGAAAAAGAAGATATGCTCAACATATTGACCTCATATTATGAGAATTTTTTCGTTCTTGCAACATTAGATCGTCGTGTGATGGCATTTCTCGAAATACCTATTGTCACAAGTAGGGTTATCATCTACATTTGAAGTACGAGATAAATAATATAAAATATGTATTCGGAAATTCATAATTGGAAAGGAGAAAAATATGCCAACATATTGACCTCATGCAATTGGAAAATATTCTTTAATTTTAAACGAATTGTAACAATAGATTATTTTATGATATTCCACGAAATATATACTGAATAATAAGCATGTTCAAATTACAGATAAATATTAGACATTTGTTTAAAATTCCTAGAGGAAAAAATGTTTCAAAATGTTCACGCCATGGTAGGAGAGGTAGGAGAAAATGAATTGCCGTATGATATTATCCGAAAAAAATATTGACTGCGTAGGGTTCCGAATTTTCATGTTCAATTTGTAGAGGAAATAGACTACAAATCTTTACGCCATGGCATAAGAAAAAATTCGACCATTAAATACGAATTGTAACTGATCAGCATATAGTGATAGCTGAATATTTTGAAATAGCCTGTGGTCAAAGACAAAGTATTCGAAGTTAGTTATTGTAATTGCAAACATATCAAGACTGCCGATATATCTCCAGGCAATTTTACAGTATCATATGATCTTTCAGGTAATCACTGAATTTTAAATAATTCATTAAATAAAGATCACATTTTTACTGGTTGTTGTAGTAGGTAGCCTAGAAGAATTTAAATTTCAAATATTAAAATATGGGTAAATATCTTAAAAATGTATTAAGAAAATATTGATACGTTTCCACGACAATAGGGAATACGAATATAAACTGGGAACTGCTACCACAACAATTGTCATGGTAAAAATTACATAGAAACCGTTTTGGAATCACAAATTTTTTTATTGATTTCTATATTATTGAACGATTTTTGGGTATTTTTTGAACAAATTAATAAAAATTAAATCGGTCGATTATTTGAAGTTCTCTCTCGGTTCATTAAAAACACTCTAAACTTATTCAGTCTTATTTTTAAAGGGCTCGGTATGTCGAAATATTTTTTCTGAGAAAATATGTTTTAATTTGAATTTATGAATTGATTAATAATTAATCGTTAATTAATTTTAAGCCTTTGGAGTAGTTTATGTATTGTTGGTTATGATATAATTAAGTGATATACTGTTAATTTTAAGCTTTTGGAGTAGTCCATGTAAAGAAGTTTTTGGAATCGCTCATGGCCCTTTGGGCTAGGTTCTTGTTTATGAAATAAATTGAATTGAAAGCTTTTTTATTTTGGAAACTGGAAAATGTAAATTCTCTTAAAAAAGAAAAAAAATAGAATCAATCAATTATTTGGGAAGAGGCAATTCACTCGTTTCAATCCCATTTTTTTTTAATAGGGATGGTGCATATTTTCAAAAACATTAGACCTTATTTGAAGAACAATTTTTAATTGACATGTTCCTGTACTGAAAGAATCTACGTTCTAAACTGAGTACAGGTCGCATTTATGATTCGAATTTGATGACATTTGTTTCGCATAGCCTACATATTTGGCCCACTAATACGCCAATCCATGGTATATTCAGTAAGGTAGCCGCATAGACGAATTTCTACAACAAACATCAGTTGTTGTATTTGTATTTTTATAGAAAATATCAATAAAAGTATTGTCAAACAAGCTCTTCAAAATTCGGAGTTTTTTCATCTATAATTTTGTTTTTTTTTTTTTTTTTAATTTTTGGGTTCTACATTTTAACAATATTTTTGACATTTATTTGCACCAACAGCTGGGCCGATGCGTCTATCTTTTAAATATTCCTTGCGCCACTCAAAAACATTAATAATGAATGACCCATCAAGCGGTAGATGTTCGAACTATAACTTGCTGGAGCTTTGACATATTCAATGGCATTTCCAATGTGTCGAATTGTACTAAATAAAATTTTTAATTAATGGTTTTCTTGACCACACATGTAATTTACATATGCCTTGTTCCAGAACTTGAACGAAATAGTTGAGGGAATTGCCAACCACCATCTTTCTCGCCCACAAACTGACAATTGCCACAATTAAAATTATCGTTTTCACTATATCCATATACGACTGTGTTGTTTTTAACTGCTTATCTGACGTCTATTGATAATTTTTGACATGTGTATCAAATAACGGTCAAATAACACAAGATTGTGTTATCAGTATTTCCAATATTTTCAAATGTTCTTTTTAAAGTGCACCTAGAGATTTTTTATATCGCAAACCCTGTACTAAATGTTGAATGCAAAAATAAGCTAAATACGTCATGTTTTCAATATAAATACATCTATCTGCTTAAAGAAACTCTAATTAAAAAAAATTAAAAATCTGTTATACCAATAATATTTATGCTTACCTTCATTACCGCCATCCTTGCACAGACCCTTAACAAGTTTGGGAGCAGAATTAATCTTAAGACGATTGACATCAACCGGGCACAATAACAGCAATTCCAATATCTCTTGGACCAATGGCCAATTCATGGCACGAATGGCATCATTTAACCAGGTATAGACCAATGACCAGCCACCGGCACCCATAAATTCGCCCAGTAATTCGGTTTTGGTACATTTTAAGATTTGCACATAAATGCATTTGGAGACCAATTTTTTGGAATATTTGGTCATTAAACTGTTGGAGAAAAAAACAAAGGAAATAGGAAAACAAAAACACCATTATTAAACAAATCAAGAAATACAACTCTGTGTAATTGTAATAGATTAAAAAGGGCAAGAGTGGCGGTACAACGTGATTATTTATGGAGGCCAACCACCTAAAAACCACTCTTGCAGGGGGTTGGAATGAAAACACAAATATTTTATTTTTTTATGCCTACCTAGCTAATCTTTTGACTTCTCCGGCGCTCAAAATGCCGCCATTATCATCTAATAACACCTTAAGGCATTTCAATAACTGTATTGGCACAATACGTGGCTAGAAAAACAATAACAGAAAAAAAGAAAATCATTGAAATATGCTCGTCACACATTAATTATTTATAAAATAAAGTAAAACACATTATCAATTTAACAAAATTTTTATTTTTTATATTTTGTTAAAGGTTGGCAATTGCAAATGATCTTGGAACTAAACTTACCATTTTGTTGGATATTTTTGTTTAATATGTAATAACAATTAACTGGAAACTGGTATATTTTGCACGTCTCTCTCTTCTCAAATTGTGGTATACCAATATTTTCTTCTTTAGCTACGCGTTTGTCTTCTCTCCGGTTTGTTTACGTCATTTGTTTTCAATTGGACTTCACACAATTTTTCGGCGTAGTTACAGCTTGTTTTATTTTCTTTCCTTCTTTTTTCTTATTAAAATTTGCGATTATGTAATGCAGGTTTTTTTCTTCTTCATTCCACTAATCCATTGATTATTTTCTTTGTAAATTTCTTGTTACTCTTTTTACTTTTAAAATCTACAATAAAAACAAATAGAAATTAATTTATTTGTTGGCAAAAACGCAATTAAAAACTTATACACATTTTTTTCAAGTCGTCTATCGGAAACAGAGAAAAGAAAAACACACTTCAACAAAAGGAAAGAAATACTTCTTTCCAGTTGTCAAATTTTTGTTTACTTTATTTATAAACAACAACAATCGTATTACCTAGTATTTAATTTAATTGTTTAATATAAAAGAGTATAAATATGTTTTAAATGCGACAAGGAATTGTATTTATATTTATTTAAGCACGCTACGTGCAGTCTCCCATGAGTACTCTGAATAAACTGATGAAAACGCCAGTGGTGGCGGTGTTGCTGTGTTTGTAAAATGTAAACACATGTCTACAATTGTAATAGATTGTTTTCATTTGTTAACAGGGTGTTTCAAATGTTTCTGAAATTTCAGTGCTGTCTAGCAACATAACAGCATAACCCAACAAACATGAATTGTTTTGTATATCGATTTCACTTTTTTCGATAAATTACAAGTTGTTAGTAATGTCATTAAACTATATCCATGAAAAAGTCATCGAAATGGTTTAGTTGAGATGGTAGCTGTCAAAATGTTGTTTGTTTTGCATGTATTATGGAATGATTACAATAGAATATTTGGTCTGTTCCAGAACCTGCAAGAATGTGCTATTTTTACGAGAACAATTTTTCTTTATAATATCGGAAAAAATTAGTCGATTCTTGCAGTACGGGAGCAGACCAACAATGATTACTTGTAAATTAAAATATGTTATTTGCCGTATATTATATTTCATTAGGCTCAAAAATTGATTACGATAAATAATTTTAATGCATACGTAGTGATTAAATCTACAAATGAATTCAGAGAAACGTTTTTAGAAATAACTAATGTTTTATTTTTTGGAAAAGAAAATAACACCACTTATCGACAAATGCGATTATTATTTCAGTCAATAGTCAAGAATATCTTAAATTAAATTGGTAATATACAATATTTATAAAGAATTTTTTTGCAAATACAACTCTGATTTAGCAGTATTCTGACTACCATTAACATTCAGAAAAAAACTTTTTGCAATATTCGAACCAATTATGAAAATCAGAAATAGGAGATATATAAATGACAATACAATGTAGGATCATTACCAAAACCAGTATGATTCTAATATTTATTTAATAAATTCAAAGTTTTATTAGTGTAGAAGCAATTACAATTTCCTATGCGGGTTTTTCCAAAGTATGGTGAACTAATAAAATTCCCCACTTGAAGCGAAAATGGCGCTACTAGAATTAAATGTTGAAAAAAGCGCGTACGTTTTTGCTAATACAACTCTGATTTAAGAGTATTCTGACTGATGGAGAGTGACACCGATGCTGACATCTATTTTAAAGTAAATGACAAATACAGTCAAAGCCCGGTATAAAAATTGATATATTTTCAAGCCAATTATTCGTTATAGCGAAAAATTCGTTATTAACGTAATAATAACGTGTTTACATATTTTATATGGCTGGATAATTTTTTAAGGGATCTATAATTTATCAAGTAAAAAGTATTAAAAAAAGAGAAATAAATTATGGATAAAAAACCAATGTCATTATCTACCGGACATTATTTTTATTTTTATCAAGGTTACCAACAAGTCATGGCATAATTACAGACGGTAGTCTCATTTGAGAATTTTAGGCTGGCAACCCTTTTTAATTTGGAACTCATCTATAAATTTTTTATATATTATATACATTAGAACTTTTTAAAGGGTTAACCTACTTTATGAGGATTTATTTGACATATATACAAAGGAATTGACAATTGAAACCCACTGCGTTAACGCAATTCGGTTAAATGTAAACTTACTATATTATGTATGTGTGTCGATTGGCATATTTTCAATAAATTAAAAAATATATATATTTTCTAAAGCTGAACATTGCTCTTAAGATTTAATAATTTTTGACACTGAACACATGATATGCGAAAATTAAAAAAAAAGGATCAATTGATTCTTGTGAGTTCTGAAACATAACATCTGTCAACAAATCACTTTCCCTGTTCTTGTCAAAAATTATCTGAACTATAATTTTTGATCAAGATTTTTAATAAGGGAAATAATATATTGCAAAAAATAAATATTGCCTATTTAAAACTCCTCCCTGTCGATTTGTAAATATCGAGATGCATCATCTGAATTTTAATCAGCTGCCTTTTGGCCGGTAATGGCAAAGATTCGATTATTTATGTTTTTTCGTCAATGTTCCATTAAATACAAGAGTGGTAAAACCCATGATATATAGGGAATAGCTACCGACTAAATAATGGGCAATTCTATATGTACATATTTGGTGTATGTTCATCCGTTCAGACTGGATGATTTCATCCGAGCTGTCAAAATGCAATGTAACAAAACCTTTAACAGTATGGGGCAAGGCCTATAAATAAGGTCATCCAGGGAGACTTCCATTATGAAAACATTAAAAAATTAAAATTTGTTGACATTAGACTTGAGAAAAACAGTTTTTTTCCTTATTAATAAACCTTGGTATGGGGGATATTCAACCAAAATATCCGATAACCATTACTTCTTACACTACCTGTTTAATAATGGATCTTGACCCGTAGTAAAACGGGTCCTTTATGGGGATTTATTTGATATATATATATATATGCAATGGAATTGACAATTTAGAACCGAAATCCAGTACAATGTGAACGAATTTATAAAACTTTTCAAATTTATAAAGGGGAAAATAAAAATCGATTACTTGAAAATTCTTCCAAATTCAGGAATTAGTTTTTTTAACTTATAAAGAAAATAAACGAAAGATAGTAGGTTTTGGAAAAGACCAATTAAAATGTATACAAAAATTTCAAATTTATAAAGGAGAAACACATGTTCGATTATTTACACATGTTTTGTGCGCTTTTAAAAATAATTGTCAACATACAAAATGTCGAAAAAAATGTATACTTGACAAATTCCAGACACTACAACTATTAGCTTGGTAAATTTTAAACGATTCTAACGAGGGTTTAAAATGACATTTAGGTTATAACTTTTTTCCGGGTTAACCTACTTTATAAGGATTTATTTGGCATATATTCAAAGCAATTAACAATTCATACCCACTGGATTAACGAAATCCAGAAAAATGTAAACGTGCTATAAACGACTCTGGGCATTAACGCAGAACACGTTATTATGTATAACACGAATGAATCTGTGTATGAACTTTTTAATGAACAAAAACATACATAATAAATCTAAAATGCGCCAAAATTACATTTATAATTTTGAGTTTTTAATTACACCAACACTTGATGACATTTCACTAACAGCTGAGCGCTGATGTTGCCATATTATCAACCATGCAATGCATTAAATATTTTGATAATTGTTTGACATTTGGTCTGTTCCCGTACTGCAAGAATCTACTAGATTTTACTATTTTCTTCGATAATATAAAGGAAAATTCGTTATCGCAGTAAAAAGTAGTAGATTCTTGCAGAACGTGAACAGACCAATTGATATAGATATCGATAAAAAAATGAGTAATGTTGCCATACACTTGAGAGAAAGACATCGTTTGATGTGAAGGCCCCTTAATAAATAGCAACACATATTACTACACTAATCGATAACAATTCGATACCTCTGTTGCCATACTAAACACAACTCAACAACCGGTTTTTGGCTTAGCTAAAAGAAAAAGTAAACACCACTACAAACTAAAACACAATCTATTACAATTCCAATACACCTTCGTTAACGCCCATATAAAACTCTGACGCCATTTTGTTTTCCATTTTCGTATGTATAACAAAAATGTAATTATATACAACGCAATTTCACCATATATTACCATAAAAGTACAGCACACTATAATCCAACGATGAAGCAATGGAAATATTTGTAATATTTTTTTCGTATTGATTTTTCTTTTCGAGTGAAGTTATTTCACATTTTTCTATTTTCTTTGCTTTTCTCAGCAATTAGTTATTTCGAAATGCCCTAAATTAGTCAGCAAATTTTTCGTTTCGTTTGTTTTTCTTCAACTTGTGCTTTTAGTTTCTCCAAGCACATAACTCAATATCTAACAATAAAAAGACTTGCATTTCGATATTTCGTTAATGATTTAATTTTTTTTCTTCTTCAACAGTTCAATATTTATATTATTTGTTTTCTTGCTTTTTACAGATTTCTATTTTATAATTATTATTATGTATATATGGAGATAAATGTGTCAGCTTATTTTTCTTTTCTTTGTTCCGAGTTTACCAAAAAAGCCACGTCCAACTCACCCGTATTCACAAAATTATCTGAACAAAATGCAGTTATGACTAGGGATAAGTAAATCGACTTTTGACTAATCGATTAATCGAATTTTTGTCAGAAAGTCGAAATCGACTTTTGATTTTTGAGAAAATCGCAAAGTCGACTTTTCAAAATCAAGTTTGCGAATTTGAGATAACACGGAATCCAATGCTATAATTATATAAAATATTTTATGCAAATGAGTATTACACGCCCACGGGCTTAAAAATAGATTTTTACAAAATGGCGGTTGCTTATTTTACGGATAACCTACAAATTACGAGTCGTTCAACAGAATCCAAACATCTGCGCATGAAATTTTTAATTTTCGTAAATTTTAATAACAAAAGAAGATGCTTTTCGCAACTATGTGACTCCTTCACAGTAGAAGAGTTCACTGATACACAAGGCTTAGAAAGTCTAATTATCAAATTCTTAAAGAAGATCGAAGTCAACCTGCAAAACACAAACCACCATCTATGGATAAAGTCAAATCGTAGCTTAATACATTGGAGACACTGAACATTCTAATACCAAATAGGACGTGAGCCAAGGAGGAGAGGAGTTAATTGAAAAAAAAAAAAAAAAATATTTTATGAATATTATTGTATTTAATAAATACATAATTCATTGGTCCAAATTGATAAATCATCATGTGTGAATACTTGGGCATTTCTTCAAACAATGAATGAACGTCTGGCTTTAAAATGGTAAAACAAAGATATAAAAAACGATCGCAGTGCTTCAATAGGACGTTTATAAGATCATCACAGGTGCCGAATCATAGATCTTTGAGTACGAGCCCGAAATAAAACATAAAACAGCAATAGACCTTGTGGGTATTTGAAGCCAAATCCAATGAAAGTTGTTCGTGGAAGAAGCATTTTGGTCGTCTCTTTCTTCGCCTACCTGAGTGGTACACCACTATTTGTGTGCCAGAAGTATTATTGTGCGCCATGACAATACGAGCTCTCAAGTATCGATTCGAACCTTTTTTTTTTGGCCAAAACGTGGATTTGAGATGTTATCCGCAATTTAATCCTGACATGGACATAACTTTTTTTTATTCCCGTATATTGAAAATATTGGGTGACGTAGGGGATGATAGATACCAAGCAACGGCTGGCTGATTGGCTTTAACATGACGAAGCCCAGGCTTATCTTGGTCCCTCTTTCCCTGGGGTAACTATTTTCATCATCCATTGAAATAGTGAGCTGATATGTGCCGCGAATTCTCCCATAAGAACTATCAAAAATGGAAAAATTCTTACTTTGAAAAAGCAACGAAAAAGAAAACCAAACTTTGCGTAAGTTAATCAGATGATTAGGCCTTGTATTATAGCCAGTGTTGCCAATTTAGCACTTTTAGTGCTAGATTTAGCACTTTTTAAACTCGTTTAGCACCAAAAAATTTGATCTAGCACCTAGCACTTTTTTTAGCATTTTTATTTTTTATTAAATTTTTTCGAGAATTTCTGGTATCACTTCAAAAAAAACTTGTCGTTTTTCGATTTCACTTTGACAAACTGAAATTTCTTTATGTTTTCCACGATGAGTTTGATTTTTTCAACGTTAAATCAGTGAGTGGAGCATAATTATCACTGGTCCCAATGCTCTGCGAAACGATTTCCGGTTTCGGGAAAAAATCGCGACATATACACCTCCTTCTGTGATAAAAATGCTACTAAACAATATCAGAATATGAACATTTAGTATAACTCCAAGTATATAAATCAATAAAATTTATATAAATTTAAAGGCCAACCGCACCTCTTGTATATACTAGCAACTTCTTCCCCTCTAGAAAAATAAATGTTTTGGAATATTTTTTTCTTTTTCCCACAAAAGTATTGTTCAATTTGTCTCGTTAAATATTGACCGATCATTATCAAAAAAGTCATGTTTTATTGTTGGCAGATGATTTGGTGGAGCCCGAATCATCAAATACTATAGATGTCTCACTTGACCATAACCGACATTTCCACCCTCTAGTGTGGTAATGGTAATATTAAACAATATTAGAATACGTAGACACCTGTATATATGTATGTATAGCATCCACATCCGATTACATACATCAGTAATTGGTATCAATTTAAAGGTTAACTACTTATCTTGGATTCACAGTCAACTTTACCGGTATATGTTCTTCTAGAGAAAATATATACACAAATTTTGACATTTTTCACACAAAAGTGTTTACCGTTTGAGTCGTAAAATATTGAAAATATCTTTGGAAATTCCTTTCGCATTTCGCGATGTTCAGGCCATAGTTGGGGTCTCTAGAGCGACCAAAACAATATGTACCCTGTTTGGAAAAATTTCATATCAATTATTAATTTATATTTAAGTATAAAAATTAAGAAATATAGATCTCATTAACAACTTTCTTTATATTAAAATTTAGCACTTTTTTCTGGCACTTTTCTAAAATTTTTAGCACTTTTTGGCATTTTTTAAACAAAATCTAGCATTTTTTCTCAACAAAGTTTTGGCAACACTGATTATAGCTGACATGAAACGTGAATTTGGCTGCGAATTTATGGTTAATAAATTCGTAGATGAGCGAATTGCTATAATCCGTATGAAAGCGAAGTTCTTCTACATCAGTCTTATTTTGCACCCATGCTCCGACGGAAGACAAAGATGAACAGACCAAAGACATTTTTACGAGCGCCTAGAAACTGCATATGACCGCTGCCTGGTGCGATCTAATGTAACACGGAAAATCGACGTCGAAAAACTGCAAACACAACAGGTAGCAGATGCCTACTCCGTTCAACTTACCCACCTGCTTGACGAAATCACTTCTTGTCCCGATAATAGTATAGAAGCACAATGGCAAAGAATTGCCCACTCCTACAAACTGCAGCTAAAGCAACACTTGGGTACCTAAGACCACCGTCGCGAAATCCATGGTTCGATCAGGAGAGTCGTAATGATACTGATATGAAAAACGCAGCGCATAGGGTAACCCTGCAGACAGTAGCAACATGTAATGCGAGAGATAATTATCAGCAGAAAAGGAGAGGAGAAACGTATTTTCAGAAAAAAGAATGAAGTCCGGAAATTCTACGAACGAATTAAACACCAAACCGAAGGCTTTGCTGCAGGCACATTATCCTTTAGAGATGAAGATGGAAACCTGGTGGCAGATACAGAAAGCGTGTTGAGGATCTGGAAGGAGCATTTTGCAAAGCTTGTATACCACTTAGCCCAGATGAGGTCAGAATAACAATCGGCAGAAGAATAATAAAGCATCAGGTGACGATGGATTACCAGCCTATTTAAGATCGGTGGTCAGATACTGGTCAGGAGCATGCACCAGCTGGTTAGTACATATGCTTGGAACCTCAGCATCCTGTGTCCCGTACGCAAAAATGGAGACAAGACGATATATGCCACCTATAGAGGAATATGTCTCCTTCTCATAAAGTGCTATGCAGCGAGCTGTGTAAATGACTGAAGTCACTGATCAATGGCATTATTCGCCCATACCAAAGCGGTTTCAGGCCTGGCAAATCCACCATTGACCAGATTTTTACTCGGCGCCAAATCCTGGAAAAGGCCCACGAAAAACATCATGACATTTCACCTATTCGTCGACTATAAAGCCGCATTCGACAGTCCAATCCGTTCAGAGGTGTTTAAAGCCATGTCTGCATTCGACATTCCTGCAAAAATAATACGGCAATACAGGATAACTTTAACTGGCACAATGCCAGCAGTTAAAGTCGGAAAGGACCTCTCGGATCCCTTCAATACCGAACGAGGATTGAGACAAGGTGACAGTTTGTCGTGTCACCTCTTTAACATCCTGCTGGAAAAGGTCTTAGCAGAGGCAAAAGTGAACAGAAATGGAACTCGGTACATGCTAAGTGGAAACACATTTAATGACTTCAGGATTGGCATGTTAAGTTGGCTTCTTTTATTGTAAAAGAATAATAAAGCCAACTTAACATGCTAGGCCTGAATCCTCGTATGTGTTTCCCCCATGCATACGCCGATGACATCGACATAATGGGTCGAATTGAAAAGAGTCTGCCAAAGTGGGACTGTCAGTAAATGGCGGGAAGACCAAGCTGATGGTATCAACTTTGGTACCGCCATTAAGACAACTAATAGCATAATTTTTTGAAATTCGGATCTGGCCAACCACATGCTATTTTTATTTGTTTTTCTTGTCATAATTAACACAATGATTTGTCAATTGCTCTGAATCGAATCCCCGAACATCACGGTTCAATGTTATTAAATGTTCCTACTATTTATTTCTCTATTCAGTTCCAATAAAAATAAAAAAACTTACAATTTTATGTTAGATATATATTTTTTATTTTGATTAAATATGCAGGTTTGTTCTCATCTAATGAATATGTATAATTTTTACCAATTATATTTGAAGATCATACTTCACATGGATACGTATTTAATATCAATAAAACTAACAAAACACAAAATATGTTACAAAAAAGTGAGAAAGGAAATATAAGAAGAAAATAGTTGTCTTTTTTCCGAAAATGATACAAAGATACAGAGAAAAAAATAGTCTACAAAAAGAAATGTGCAGATCAAAGATTAAAATCTCTTACAATATAAATATTTTCTAGGGAACAATAATTGTTGAGGTTTTATTATTAAAAATTCTAAGGGAATTTTGAATTTTATACTTAAAAGAAAACTAGAAGAATATTAAACAAAAATGAATATGAGAAGTGTTGAATGAATGTAGGTATGTAAATATTTATAAAAAATAAGATTACACAATAATTGTAAATGTATTCGAAAAAATTGTTACAGTACATAATATATATTGGTTGGTTAAATATAGTATTTCTTTTTTATAATAATATATAGGAAATAAATTCAGCTGTTATTTAGTAATATAATAAACAAAAAAATGTACACTTTATAAAATTTCACATTTGAGGTCATTGTTAGAGAGGGATTCTGAAAGAGAGTTGGAGACCAATATCGACTAATTTTATATTTAAAATTACTTTTCGCTTGCCGGTTGAGTTTTTAGTAAAGGATAGGTCATTGCTAAAGGTAACAAATTTCAATCCAGTTATTTTTATAGTTTGTTTGGCTTTAGAAGACTTTCTTGCAACAATTGAAATGTTATGGATGGCCAATATTTTTGTTTGCAATTATTTTCCAGACACCCTTAAAACTGTTGATAAAATTCTTTATGGTTTTATACTTTATGTGTATGGTTATGATTTCTTTTTAAAGAAACCAATCTTTTGCGAAGTTAATCAAAATATTTATTTTTTTTTTCTTAAATAATAGAATAGTAATTATTTCTAATAAAAATTGTGCTATTGAATGTACTGGGAGTTGTTGTAGCTAATTTAGAAAAAAAAATAATTTTTATGTTATGCCATAAATTTCGCTGTTTCAATATTTTTTGAAGGCCGTAACAGACCTTCTAAACACCAATTCTAAACAGAGACCACAGGTCTTTATAAAGACCAGTTGGACTGTATAGAGACCACAGGTCTTTATAAAGACCAGTTGGACTGTATAGAGACCACAGGTCTTTATAAGGATCAATTGGTCTGTATAGAGACCACAGGTCTTTGTAAAGACCAATTGGTCTGTATAGAGACCACAGGTCTTTATAAAGACCAATTGGTCTGTATAGAGACCACAGGTCTTTATAAAGACCAATTGGTCTGTATAGAGACCATAGGTCCTTATAAAGACCAATTGGTCTGTGTGGATACTAAAGGTCTTTACAAAGACCAATTGGTGTGTATAGAGACCACAGGGCTTTATAAAGACCAATTGGTATGTATAGAGACTATAGGTCTTTATAAAGACCAATTAGTCTGTATAGCGACCATAGGTCTTTATAAAGACTAAATGACTTTTAGGTCTTTATAAAGACCAATTGGTCTGTGTAGAGACCACATGTCTCTATTGTCTGTATAGAGTCAAAGATTACCGACTTTATTTATTTATTTTTTTGTTAAACAAAAAACAAACCAATTACTGCGTGGCTTATTTGGATTTAATCTCAATTTAAATAAAAAACCTAATACAAAAAAACTTAGTCCTTTTGTTCCGTATTTGTTGTAGTATTTGGCGAGTTTAATTTATTGTTTGCCATCATCATTGTTGGCATATTGTCGTTGTCACTCATACCAGTAACGGCAGCTGCTTCTGTACCACCACCAGCACCACCGCTTGCTTCAATATTGGGAACCGATTCTATGCCACCAACAGCACCTTCCATTTCTTCAATGGCAACTGCAGCTGCTGCATCCAATTGCGGCTGTTGTTGTGCGTTTGACGTTCCCACTCCTACTGCGGAGTTTTGTTGTGAATTAACAATTGTCTTTAATGCTTGATTTGATGTACTTGGTTGATTATCGGCTGCTGGCGCCGCACCAACGACAACATCTAGTGTTTCAGCTTTAGCCAATTTTGGTTTGAATGTATTATTTTCCGAATTCAATTCATAATTACGAAATGGATCTTTAAATTTTTCTCGATTATTTGTTGCCTTATGTGCTGCGGTGGTATTTGATCTTAAGCGTCGCGATTGTGTATTATTACGTTGGCTGCTTAATGTTGGACTTTCCGATCTAGCTCTTTGCAAGGGAGCACGATTGGTAACGGGTGATTGATATGGTGGTGTCGCCGCCAGAGAATGATCATAATCTCGCGATCTACCAAATTCAAAACCATTTTGCCATTGGACATGTACATTTTCATATGATGGATCTTCATACCGCCGAGTCGCCGCGGTTGCATTTGTACCATAATTATCAGCTTCCCGTAAACGATGTAGGGTATTGTGTAAGGGTCTTCTATAGGGAGCGGCAGCATTCATACCCGCCGCGGCAGTTGAATGCATTTCCGCCCTAGCATTGAAACGTACAATATCCTGTGGCAAACCGGACAAACGTGGTGTTCCATATGCTGACATTTGAGCTGCTGCCGAGGCGGCATCACAGTCAACACAATCTCTGGAGAACATAAAATTAAAATCAATCACCTTGCAGTCAGCGGCACCCTGGCCCATCCACAACGGTAACCATTTATTGACCAACAACCATTGTAGACTTGATTTTGAAATGCGATTTAGTGAGCCATTTTGTTCAGTCATTACCGGATTGTTGGCGGATGAAGATGCAGTCGTTGTTGATGATGTGGAAGACGACGACGCCGTTTGTTGTGCGGAAGTTTTTTGTGCAGAATTTGAAGAAGATTTTTTCGTTAGAGCATTTTTCAGGGAAGACACAGTTTTTTCTGTTGCAGTTGCAGCATTGGAATTCTTTTCAGCATTATTGCTGCTGCGATTTGCATTCGAAGAGCTGTTAAGATTTTTTATTTTTGGGATGGCACCGGTAGCACGCAGTGTTAGAGTTGATGAAGAACTTGTTGATGCATCGTTGTTGCTGCTGTTGTTGTTACTATTGGCATTTGGATTGATTAAGGGTCCGGCCGAAGCGGCCCGGCTTTCACGATCTTTTGAAATGGTGGCACTAACTGTGAAGGTGAAATTTAAATGAAGTTGAATAAATAGAGGGTTTTTATTATATTCCCAATTCTAATGAGAAGTTATGAAGATATTTTCTAATATATGAGTTGCTACTTATACTTCGAGTGAATATATTATTAAAAATGGTTTTAAAAACAATTCCAACTCATTTTTATTTGCTGTCAAGCTCTATTTTTGGTTGCGAGCTTAATCAAAAAGGGCTATATAATGGTTTCAAAATTTTAATCAACACACCCAAAATATAAACAGCAACCCCAGCCGAAAACATACACCCACCGAAAAATTCTTCCAACTTACCATTTGGACATAATCCCGAATTTCCCGTTGATAAATTTGAATTTCCACCACTTCCACCAGCTACCGAGGAGCTTGCAGCAGTCGGTCCTCCTCCACTACTGTTCGGATGACCCGATGCTTTATATATGTTACTCATACTTTGAGTATTCTCCCCGCCATGTAAACAACTGAAAAATGATGAGGCGCTATTTTTGACGTTATTTGCATCCCGTTGAGCAGCGGCTGCGGCTGAGGATGAAGCTGTGGTACCACAACCGCCGCCATTACAACTAGCTGTTGAAGTAATACTTGAACTATTTGTTGTCGTGGTTGAGCCAGTATTCAGGCGTATATGTCCAACGGTACCAAAATGTGAATGACCCAAAACGGCATAGTGACCACCGAGATTATAGTGATCAATATTACCACAGGATGAGCTGAGATGGCGTTCTATCCGTCCTATACCATGTCCAATGACATTGAGACGGCCATAGACACGAGCAGCCGATGCACCACTGCCACCGCTACCTCCTCCTCCACCGGTATTTGTATTACGATATATGGGTTCATCGTGTATTTGTTCGTAAATATTTTCATAACGAACCGAGGGTTGATAGTTCAGGTTGTAATAATTCTGTGATTCGGTGTCATCAAAACTTCGTTGACGATGGCAAGATGAGGACGACGACGAAGAAGTGTTGTTGGCAGTGTAATGACTGCATGAGGCACCATTACAACGAAAAGCATTGAAACGGGGATTTGCTGGGGGGAAATAAGAAATGAGAAGGTATTATTAAAAACTATAACAAATAATTTCTTCTTACCTGCATGTAAATCTAATTGGAAGTTACGTCTAAAACCTAAACCCGATCTTACAGATCTTGGTATGTCATAATTTGTTGTACCAACTCCTATTCCACCTCCTGCCCCTCCTCCTCCACCGGCAGTTGGACCATTTGCATTAATGCCATTGGCCCGATCATATAAATCGTTGCGATAATTAATGTTGCTCGTTGTCATTCGTGTTTTATTTTGTTGAGTATTATTGTTGTCGGAGTTTCCGGATGATCCCATTGTTGTGGGTGGTTGGGGTTGTTGTGGTGTTGGTGGTGGCACTATTAATTCTTCAGCAGGGGCATTGGCATTATTGTTGTTGTTATTGGGATTAATTGGTGCAATAAGGGCCTCAGCACCAAGTCCACGAGCGGCTGCGTTATAATGTTCAATGGATTCGTAGATATTTTCATAATGAGGATGTGCATTTTGTTGTTGTTGTAGTTGCTGATTAGGATTGTTAGCTTGTTGTTGCTGCTGCTGTTGTTGTACAACACCTACTGCACCTTCGATCGTACCTTCAGCTTGACTATTCTCATCATCCACGAGTCCATTAATGGCAATAACAGTCGCTTGTCTGGAAAACAAATAAAAAGGGAAATGAAGGGGAATTAAAGAAGGATCTTAAAATTATATCAAAAGTTCACTGTAATCAAAGTATCATCCTTGCAGGAAAGACAACACTTTTCAAAATGTGATTTCAATGAAATCTGGAATTTAGATTTGTTACTAGGTTAGGCAATTTCATCTTGGCATCCCCCAATATGTCACCAAGTTGTTTTCCACATTTTTAACTTTTAATTCATCCCGTTCTTCTTACTCACCTCACCAATGCACCCTGCTCTTCTATTCACATGGGTTTATCTATCATACACACACCAGCATAACTGCGTCCGATGGTCATGGCGGCGGGTAAAATTCTCCAGGTGTCTGTTTCGGGACTATAAACCTCAACGGAGGATAAATTCGAATCACCATCATCACCACCAACAACATAGAGTAGACCATCATGGGCAACAACACCAGCATTGCGGCGACAAAATGACATATCCGCCACCGAATGCCATTGATTTGTTTCGGGATCATATGCCTCCGATTTCCTTACCATTGGTCCATCATGACCCCCCACAGCATATAGAATATTTTTCAAAACACCAACACCGGCACCGCTACGTCTGGCTGACATATCAGCCACCGGATACCAGGTATCATTTTCTGGATTATAACGTTCCACCGAGGAGAGGCATTGTCGCGTAAAACCATCATAACCACCAACGGCATATAATAGACCATTTACCACACCAACCCCGACGGAGCTGCGTCTTGTTGACATGGAGGCAATGAAACGCCATACTTCAGTTTTGGGATCATAAACTTCGGCACTGCAAAGGCCGGTGGTGCCATCGAAGCCGCCAACAGCATAAATGCAACCATTCAAAACAGCAACACCGAGAGTGGAACGTCTGGCCTCCATGCTGCTGCTGTTAGACCATTGGTCAGTGGTGGGGTCATAGACATCAACAGTTCGTACACGTAGCGAACCATTAAAGCCACCCACGGCATATACCTTGTCGCCCAAGACAGCCAAGCCGGCACTAAAAAAAAATACAAAATTCCAAATATTATTTTTAGAGCCTATCGAAGTGAAAATAGGTATTGTTCTACTTACCGACACCTACGATTTGGCATTTCAGCAGCCTGATACCATTTCTCCTCCCTCAGATCATAACACTCCACCGAGCGTATGGCTTTTGGTGCTTGACCCCCAATAACAAGGAGAATTTTTGGAAATCCTACCGGTTTTCGTGGCATTGTACGTTGTGTCTTGATTTCATTTGGTAATAGATGATATGTCAGCGCTTCAATAATCAGATTTTTACAAACAATATTACCCTCCAATAGAGGTTCTTTATCAACATTTTGTGCTATATATTCCTTGGACAGAAGTGGCAAACGGACATGTTCCATTAAATCGGCAGTGTATTGTTCACGTATGGTCGGATCATATCGTATCCAATTTATGACACATTCATACACTTTCTCTTCACTGGCCACCGAAATGCGATCATTGCGTATTAATGAGATAACTTGTTCGGATGTTAAATTGAGAAATTCATCGAATTGAATTACTTCGCTGGAAGAAAAGAAACAAACATTTCAAAATTACTTTTAACACCAAATTTGAATTCTATTTCAATACTTACTTAAAATGCTGTTCAATATATTGTTCGGCATAATTCACCAAATCCACACAACCGTGCATATCGGCAAAATCACGTATACCCAAACAATTGCTGGCATCCAATTGTGTTTGCAAATAATCACAACATGCATCGCGTACATCAGTCAATTGTAAAAGATTGGCAGCTGTCAGCAGAACTTGTACATTATCTTCATTAACCTCTACAGTCGATGTATACACATATTCAATAAGCAATTCGAGTGCATGATGATCGACACCCTGTAAAGTAATACGTCCTTGTCGTGACTCTTCGAAACCTGTAAACATTGCATAAAAATATGGACTGCAGGATGCCAAGACCATTTTATGTGCCGGTATTTCAATATCTTCAGCAATAAGGGTTACATCGCAGAGAAGATTTTGTCTGAAAAAGGGAATAGAAGAAGGAGGTTATTTATAAAACTTTCAAAAAGCGGATAGAAGCGAATAGAATCTTCAGGTTTAATGGAGGAAAACTCTCCCAAAAAAATCTAACAAGCTTTTAAAAAATCTTCCTAGATTTTGTTGTTGGAGTGTGTGGAAAAGTACCGATGGTTATCGAAAACCACCTCAATAAATTTTCTGCAGATTTTTCAGTTAACTTTGCGATTGATAATAGCTGTAATGTGCTATAAGGAGAAGTTAGTGCTGTTGGCTAAATATCTGGAAATTATTGTCCCTATACTGTTAGTATTAAAACCTGAAGACATAATGGTATAATCATCGTACGACACCACCGAAAGATAATCAAATGATTGGGGGTTTCGCACGATAAATGTTGATACTTGGGTGCATCAACAAGTTTTTCAGACTTAGTTATTTTTTTTCTAATCGAACGTTCCCATGCCTCACTTTCCCACCCCTGCCGACCAAGTTCTTACCATGGTGTGAGGTTATACTATTGTCGAACTCAAATCCTCAAAAAAAAAAAAAAAAAAAAAAAAAAAAATAATAATAACATGGTTTCTTAAGTCTTTCTAAAAACAAACATGAAGCATGAAAAAGGCCAAAGCAAGAATCCCAGAGACCGACACCGAAGCATAGCGGCACTGCTGCTCACCCCAAATCGTAATGGATTGCGGGACCACCCCGCTACTAAAGGCATGGATGCCAGCACATACATGCCGATATCACTTTTGTCGCCAGTATGTAAGACACTTCAGGCATGGCTACTCCCAAGCATTCGTCAATGCTACTCAGTTACTGATCATCAATACGGATTCCGGATGCAGGACTCAACCAGAACAGACCGTGTAATTGGGCAGGACGTCGTTAGAACAATCTTCCAGCTAAGTTTGAATCTTTAGATCGCAAATTATATTTGGACGCGAGTCGTACGTGAATATCTGAAATAAGAAGTCGAAGGCCCGTAGAGTTAAACAGGGAGTTCCCCTGCGATATCATTTTTTCCGTATGAGGAATATGTAAATATCCGCCACTAAATCAACGATCACACTATTAACCACATAGACAGCGGAGATGCGGATACCTTTGAATGGGCAGGTTGATGCGTTCGCAATTCCGACCACCAAGTCCTCTGTCTCGAAGGCCGATTCTACGCCAACTGACAAAGGTGAAGCGAATGAGCCAATGAACTCTGGCACAACGAACCAAGATGCAATGCGTCAAAATCTATCTGGCCGACTCTGTCAACTAAGAGAACAAACTCACTGTTGAACCTGAGCAAAGTTGACTAGTGGATGCTCAATTTCCACCGCCTCTAAGCTTCTTTTCAACTATGGAACCTGCTTTAATCCACAACATCATTACCTAAAGTGGTTAGAAAAGTGCTATGGCTATGGTGCCGAATGTGCCCCATCAAATGCCGAAGCTACCCCGGGTTGGGGCACATTCGGCGAATTTGACTTTTTTTACAAAACTGTAAAATTTTTTAACTAATACTATGTTTTTATATCTTTTTGGTACTATTTTTTATAATTAAGTGTCAGAGGACAATAATCAGCCATAAAGTTGTTATATATGTTGAATATGTACTGATATATAGAGCTCTAAAAAAAAGTGCCGAAGGTGCCCCAGTCTCCCCTATTAAGTTTCATGAAAATAGGTTCAGATTTAGATATAGCTTCTATATATATTTTCGTCCGACTTAATGCAAATGGTGCACCAAAGTCCCTATATCCTTCGATTTGCTCGAAATTTCCCACAGCGTATTGAATTAGGTCTAGAATGACGTGTGTCAAGTTTCGTGAAAATCGGTTAAGATCCAGATATAGCTCCCATATATCTTTTCTTCCGATTTTACGTAAATTGAGCACTAAAGACCCAAAAGTTTGGCAGATTGGCACACAATTTTGTACAATGTACTTAAGGGAACCCCAATGTCTTCAAGAATTCTTGAGATTTTCACTTGAAATTTTGTAGGGACATTCTAGAGTAGATTCGAATTAAATAAAAAAATGACACTAGGAAGGGGGGGGGGGGGGGGGGGGTTGTCCCCTTAATACAAAACAAATCTTCGCAAATATCAATTAAAAATATTTCAAAAAGGTATTTGGATTATCACAAAACAAATGAGTTTGACTTTTAGCTTCTTTGTTCATATCACCTAGAGCTGGTGAATAAACATTGCCCATTGAATTGATTTTCAATTTGTTTGTGTGTGTGCTTTTTGTGTACTTTAAGTAGACAACAACAAATATTTAAATATTTAGCAAAAACAAATAGACAATGGAATTTGTTCTTAAGTATATATTATTGTAGATGATTATTGAATCATTAAAAAAAGGTGATGGAATTTTTACAAATTTGTTAAAATAAAAATATTTTACAAACTGTTAAAAAACAAAAATAACAAAGTATATTGAAAAAAAGAGTTAAATTTTATACATAAGTATTTTTCCATAATCGTTGTTGTATGTATAAATTACAAAATTCTATTTCAAAAAAGTCGACCACTACAAATACATACAAAATTTCATTCTAACACAAACATTGTCATTGATGGTGATAAATGCTAACCGATGGCACTCGCTACCTATTAAGCAGCTACCAAGTTCAGGGTTAAATAAATATTCATAATGAATTTGACAATAAAAAAATAACAGACTTTTGTTTTGTTGTTGTAGCGTGTGTGCTTTGAGATAAACAACAAATGAGAATTGGCAATTAATAAAAACAAACAAAAAATATGATTAACATAATAAAAGAAGAAGATGAAGATATGCATACACAAAAAGTGGAACCTTATAAAAATTAAAAGAAAAAAAATTACGACAACATTGCACACAAAAATTACATATGCACTTTGTATGCAGATACTATAAGGCGACTGCTGTTGTCCCCCACGCATTCATAAACTAGACATAAATCTCTTGTGTACAACACAACGCATACCCTGCACAATGTGCGTAAATGTTCGACAATGTCTTGTTTTTTTTCTCATTACTCTCACAACGAATTCTTAAAATAAATTATCTGTCAATTTGAAATTTGTATAGTATTTAAAATGTTAGCTTACTTGCGCATCTCGTTCATGGCTTCAAAGGAACGTGTGGTATGTAGTTCATTGTGATATTGTCCCACACAACGATCTTTACTATTCGGTCTTTGTATGTGTTTCTGAGAACTTTCATCCAATGAATTTTGGCTCGCATAACGTAATAAACAGCTGCAAAGACAAGGAAAAAATAAAATGTTAATATTATTCTTACATGATGACGATAACGACTATGGCGATGAGTGTTTTCATATTCATAATTAATTAATAAAATTTATGCATATTTTATTATTTTGCAATGCCTTCGGGCTGTGTGACATATACAAAAAATTAACAATTGCAATAAGGGAAATTGTACATTTTACAAGACAATAAATTTGAATATTCGATAGAGGCTTATGGAATGTAAGAATAAAAATTAAGAATATATATAAAATAGGTAATTTAATACAAATAAAAATACCGTCCAACATGAGGTGGACATTCAAAATAACTTATAAATGGATTGAAACTTTTATATAAAGTGGATTATGCCATGGTAAATAGCTGACAGGAGAAAATGAAATATTAAACTACATAAACTCTGGTTGGAAATTGATCTAGAACCTTGATCATGGACCTTTGGAAAATGTGACTTATAGCCTTCACCACACTGTGGTATAGCGTATTATGTTTGTAACAGGTAAAGGGAATCGAGATAGACCCGTGGTTCCTTTTGAGAATATGCATAGAATCACTTTCTAAGTCAATTTATGCATATCCGTCCGTCTGTAAACAAAGTACAGGTCGCATTTATGACTCGAATTGGATGAAATTTGGCACAGCTAATTTATTTGGCCCATGGACGAACCCTATTGAAATTGGGAAAAATCGGTTCAGATTTAGATATAGCTCCCATATATATTTTCGTCCGATTTAATGTAAATGGTGTACCAAAGTCCCTTTATATCTTTCGATTTGGACGAAAAATGGCAAAGCGTACTGAATTAAGTATAGAATGTTGCGTTTCAAGTTTTGTAAAAATTGGTTTAGGGTATCTTATAGTCGGCCCCGTCCAACTTTACTACTTTCCTTACTGGTTTTTCTATAAAAAAACTCAGTTAACCTGTGCAAATTTTTTATAGAAAAAAAAGGCAACGCAGTGAACCACAGCGATTTTATTAGAAAAAATACCTTAAGGTATCTAAGCGATTTTTATACACTCCGCCTTATTTCTAATGACGGTATACATACTTTGATACGGCAAAAATGTTTTTAGACCCCATTTTTCTTTGGATCAAATCCGTTTCATACAATTTGGAGTCGTTTTAAAAATATCCCTCCCTCTGTCTGGCCGGCTGGTACGCACAATAACTCTCCTAGTTAGTAACCGATTTCATTCAAACTGTGCCAAGTAAGTTCGAAGATGGAGAATACCGGTCCACTCCTTTTGCTACCTCACCCACAAAAAATTATATGAAGCGAAGAGAATATCCAATTTCTTCGAAACTTTGCACATCGTAATATCTAGATTACGTTCGAAGATGGGTCCCGTCAGTCTACTTTTTATTATACCTCCCTCACTAAATTCTAAAAAAAATTTGCTAACAAATAATTTTAAATATCACGCGAACGGACTATCCGATTTGGACTAAATTTTGTACAACCTAATTTTATAACCCCGACTGTATAATGTGGTATGATGGCAATTATCAGCCCTCTTCTATTACCTACATCACAAAGGAATTATCCAGTATCAAGTTAATTCATAATGTCTTTCTCATAGAAGTCCTGCTCTCTATTTGCAAAAAACTCTAGTAGTCGATTTTTACAATCCTCTCTAGATACCAATTTTTTATCATTAAAGAATATTTGCAATGCAAGAAAAAGATGATATTCTCTTGGTGCTAAGTCCGGACTGTATGGCGGATGTATTAAAACTTCCCAACCATGCTTCCGATGATTCTGGCTATTCATGTCCTCGTGGAATAGAACAACTCTCCTGTTGGCCAATTCTGGCCGTTTCTGGTGAATTGCTATATTCAAACAGGCCAGTCCCACCAAATGCATAGCAGAATCTTCCTGGCCGTAAAAAAAAATCGGGGACCAAAACCTTATCTCCAAAACGGTTTGAGATAACCCCATCATATCATAACCTTTGAAATGATATCCATTTTATATTAACCGGAACCGGATATAACCAGGTACCCGTACCCGAACTTCCGGGTTAAAAAACCGAGTAACCGGGTACGTCCCCATAATTAGGGTAAAAATACCTAACTCTGGAAAAATTTTCAGAAAAATCTGATCGTTTTTACTAAACTAGAGTTAAACCGTGAAATTTATTACATTCCCCTATGGACAGGTGAATAATTCGACTACGCAATGAAATTTCCGTTGCTATCCTCTTTTACTAATTTTTGACATGTTCCAAATGTTTTCCAAATCTAAATAAAGAACCAAAATCGTGAAAAAAAACAAAAATAAATTTGTACTGACCTGCCTCTTTCCATACTGCCCTCAGCAGCTGGATTCTGATGATTATTAGCGCCAGCAGCTGCTGCTAATTGTACTCTAGCTGCTGCACCATCACCACCGGCATTCTGTTGTGCCTGGTTTTGATTCTGATTGGCAGCACCAGGTTGCTGCTGCTGCGCCTGCTGTTGATTTACGTTTTGATTTTGTTGACCACTCATAACTCCCAATGATGTCAATAACGCACTTGATATCAACGATATCATACAGTGGTTGCAGTGCAAATAAGCACTGCTATTTTGTTTTACAAATAAATTATTATTTTTCTAAACTACAAAAACAAAATACACGAAAAATAAATAACAGACACGGCGCAAATGCTTAGCGCAAACACAAACACTTGAAAAGTGCAATGCTTTGCAATTTTTTGTTTTTCCTTGTTGTTGTTATTATTGTCCGAGACTACTTCAGATGTTGAGGTGGGTTGGTAGAGGTATATGGCTAGACTGCTGCTTGCAGCAAGTAAATAAGCAATCAGACAGAAGAGGCCGCAAAAAACAGAAAACACAAACAAAATGCACAGGACCCGCCAGCACACACACGCACGAACAAAACACCACAGCTGTTTATGTCTGTTGCAAGAAATTTGAATATCTGCTTGTTCTTCTTCAACTTTTTCGAACAAAGCAAGCGTTTGACCCCATCCAACATGTGTGTCATGGGGAGGAAGTAGAACTTCTTAAAATTTCCATTGGCTTCAAATGAACAATTAATATGCTTATTAGCTCTATCTTTTTAATGTAGGCTTTCAAACGGGTTTAGATTTTTGTATACCACCCCACGCCAACAACAACAATAACACCACTAGCAAAACAACATTCGCACTTGTTCGTCGTTCTTGTTATACCGATTTTTCACTTCACTTTCAATTCATTTATTGTTGTCGGCTGTATATGTTTGTTTGTTAAACAAGACACAACATGCTTTGGAACATGCACATTTTCACTTTTCTTTAAAGCGTATTGCAATAAATATTATTTTGTTAATGGCGATAAATTAGATTTTCTTTAAACTTGTTTTTCCTATTCGAAAAAAAAACACACAAAACAGCGATCGACTTTGGCTCGACTTCCCCACACGACTCAAACAAACCGAACTAGGGACGCACAGATCGACTGGTAATGACAAACAAACCAAACAACCACGGAACGACAACAAAGGCTGACGGCGTTGTAAGCAACGCCGTTGAGTATTTTGTTTTCATTGTTATCGATAACAAACGATAAATAAATAAAAGCATTGTGGGAGTTTTTAAAGACTATTTTTGAAGGGGGTTTAAATCGAAAAGCTTGGATTTTTTAAAGAATATTTTTACAAGGATTATCAGAGATCAGGGGGAGATTTTTAAAGAATATTTTTCTTAAGAACCAACAGAGCAATAGGCGTGGATTTTTAAAGAATATTTTTGAAGGACTATCGGAGCAATAGGCGTGGATTTTTAAAGAATATTTTATAGGACCAACAGAGCAATAGGCGTGAATTTTTAAAGAATATTTTTTATAGAACCAACAGAGCATAGGCGTGGATTTTTAAAGAATATTTTTGAAGGACTATCGGAGCAATAGGCGCGGATTTTTAAAGAATATTTTATAGGACCAACAGAGCAAAAGGCGTGGATTTTTAAAGAATATTTTTTATAAGACAAACAGAGCATTAGGCGTGGATTTTTAAAGAATATTTTTTATAGGACCAACAGAGCAATAGGCGTGGATTTTTAAAGAAAGGATTTTTAAAAGGCCTATCGAAGCATATGGCGTTGATTTTTAAAGAATATTTTTTGAAGGCATATCCAAGCAAAAGGCGTGGATTTTTAAAGAATATTTTTTGAAGACCTATCCAAGCAAAAGGCGTGGATTTTAAAGAATATTTTTTGAAGGCCTATCCAAGCAAAAGGCGTGGATTTTAAAGAATATTTTTTAAAGGCCTATCCAAGCAAAAGGCGTGGATTTTAAAAGAATATTTTTGAAGGCCTATCCAAGCAAAAGGCGTGGATTTTAAAAAATATTTTTTGAAGGCCTATCCAAGCAAAAGGCTTGGATTTCCGTTATTTATAATTTCCCATTACTGTGTGGACAGTTACATTAACAACAAAGCTTCGTCCTTTAAAGCTTGAAGCTCCATTTTGATGTCGATAACACACCAAAAATAAAAAACCGAAGTAAAAGCTTTCTTTTTTTCTTTTTGCAAGAGTCAAGTGTAACTTCGTATCTCCTTCAGTCCTTTGTGTCAGTTTTATGTGAACGGTCGTCTCAAATCGCGTACGCGGAAAAATCCTTACGGATATTAACGAACGAAACGAAAAAAAAACATTCCTCAATTTGCATGGTCATAAAAAAACAAATCAAAGCAGCTGTTAAAGTTGTTTGGGTAATAATAATTTTGAGAGTTTTGAACAAAGAATAAATGCTGATTTGTTTGAAAACAATTGTTTGTTTATGTACATTTGGACAATAAATAAATGTAATTTATTTGCAATCATATGTTGCATTTCAAAAGAAGAAAATTATGCGAAATTTAAAAAAAAACAACAGTGACGACAAAAACAGTTTTTTTTCGCACAAAATTGTGGACGCCAAGTGAAAGAACCGGCCTCAGAGAAGAAATAGAACGTGGCGTTTAACATGCAACAAGAGATGTGAGAATGAGAACAGTGTTGCCGTTTCAATTTTAATCAGATAGTGGTAAATTGTTTATATCAAGCGACCAAAAATTTAAAATATATTAAATAAAAAGAAAGGTATTTACTGTAGATAACTATGCTGTGAGGATATTATGTGGCCTCAAACGATCTCGATCTAGCATGTGTCTGTCCGTCCGCCCATTCATTATTATTTTTATTTCAAATTCACTTTCTAAGCCGATTTACGCATGTCCGTCTTTAGATGTTAAATTGTAAACAAAGTACAGGTCGCATTTATGATACGATTTGGATGAAATTTGGCACAAGTCACTTATTTGGATCATTGGTCTATTGAAATTGGTGAAATCTTTTACATACCCATAGTGGTGACGGCCCTGTTAAGCTTTTGAACTTTCCTTACTGGTTTTATATAATGTTTGGTAAAAACAACTCTTTTACATAAGTTATAGCCCTTATTTTGATGATTTTTGAAAAAAAACAATACGTTAAAGCTGCTGACTTTTTTACCGACTTGTAAATCCAATAAATATTCATTAAAATAAAACATTGATTCGAATGAGTACTGTCACCACGTATACGCACACATATGAACTTCCATTGTACGGGTGAACGGATTAGTTTTATCAATAATCATACGCTTCATATATACAAATATTATACTTATTATTAGTTTTATTATAAAACAATTCGATTTTAATACATCGCATAAAGAGTTTCAACTCTGACAAGATGAACATAAAATTTACAGCGATAATCAATAAGCCAGTAATATTGTAAATATTTGACAACATATTGATATTATATCAAAACCAGTGAGCGGAGCAGTATAGGTGGATGATCCCTACACTACTACCACAAAATTCCTACTTTCTGCGGTTCTATATTCTGAGCCTGACAATATTTCCCAATATTTGACCGATAATAGGTCAACAGCTTCACTTTCTAATCATGACATTTTTTCAAACCTTGTTTTCCAAAGTGAATAAAATAAAAATTTGGCCAATTTAGGTTTTTATTCGACTCTCGGAATATTGACCGATCAACATCTTAACAGCCGTTCGAAGTATTTGGTCACATCGTTCACTGTGTAAAATATGTGATGTTCTACATATAATAATGGCCCTTAGAGCTACTAGAAAATCTGACGAAAATAAATTTTAATAAAGCGACATTTCCCAACTCCCACATCCGAGTATATACAACAATATAATTGATACCAATTTAAAGGTAAACAACTCCACCTGGGTATACTGTCAACTTATCGGGTCTATGTCCTTTAAATATATTCACCATAGAATACAAAATTTCTAATTTTTCACGCAAAAGTCTGAGTCCATTGGATACGCTAAATATTGACCGATCTTAATCAACACAGTCATTCCTATTCTTTGGCCAGATTCCCTTCCTGATGTAAAAATTAGTGGTGTTTGGGTCATAATTGTGACCTCTAGACCGACCAGAAAAACAGAAAAAAATAAAGTTTTTGGTCAATTTCATCCCCTAAATATTAACTGATCATTACGAAAAACAATAGGGGTACTCTTTGGTCAGAACCCATCCTATATGCAACATTTCGTGGCGATTGGTCCATAACTGTGGCCTGTATCGTGCTTACAAATTATAATGGACAGACAAATTTCGAACAGTTCGAATTAAATGATTTTTACTTGTTCTAATTTTTTATGCAATTAATAGGCAATTAATCCCAAGATGGTATTTGCTTGGCTGTATGTTAAATATATGATTAACAAGTTGTAATAGCTAATTTTTATATTTTTTCTTATGTTTTAAATAATATTTTACGTTTAGTGAAAAGTGCACATTTATTTGTTAACCTCATGTCCCAACTTTAAGGTCGGTGGAAGTATATATATATATATATATATATATAATGTTTTAAAATTTCCTGGTATCAGCTGAGTATTTAAGGTACATTTTTAATCGAATTGGCCAATAGTTTCGTTTTTGGGTCTTATATTGATCAAAAACCATTTTGAATTTTAATTTAATATAAAAACGACAACACTGTTTAACAACATCCCCCATAAAGACGAAAGCACACACACACACGCGTTCTCTCCCAATCCACCAATTTCTCATTTGACATCGCATCAAGTGTGTGTGTTTGTTTGAGAGTGTGTCAACATCATTGTGTTGTAGTTTTTGTTGACATTTTATTTATTTGTTTGCTCTCAACCGGCTTTTGTTGTTTGACGTTTAACACAAATTTAATGAACAAGAAAAAAAGGATGAAAAAAAGAGTTAAAATCTGAGTGAAATAACTCACCGACAATACAATTTTATTATTTTGTGATAATAATAATGTTTCAACTGTGACACAGTGGGTTAAAGGAAAGTGAAATAAGTAAATAAAATCTTAATCTTAATTTTAACTAAGAAATTGTTTATACTTATCCGTTTAGCCACTTAATCGACATTATTGTGGTGTAAAATAAAGCTTAAAGGACAAATATTTAAGATTTTAAACTGTGAGAGACATTAGCAAAAAAATTACTCCAACAGAACGGGGTTTCCAAGAGATTTTCAACGAAATTAACAAGGTGA